TCATCAGTTAGAAAATGATCATATCAGAACAAAAGGGATATCGAAAGGGATATCGTGTTCTTTTGTTTCATAGTGTTAGTGGCCATGACCTTTTTTTTTTTTGACAAATTAGTGGCCATGACCATTATTATGGGGGGAAATCAATTTTGAGCGAAAACAGGAAAAAGCAGAGATATCTGGCGTCACGTAAGTTATTCGGAAAGGAGAAAAACCTTCAAGGCAAAAGTTATGTTATCTCCACAATAACAATTATCATTGAAAGTTAATTATTGAAAAAAATGAAAATAGGGAAAATACATAAATAATGTAAAGTAATATAAAATAAGAGAAAGTTGTAAAATAATTGGGTGGAAATGGGTTGGGTGGCCCAACCTGGCCCGGTCTAATTGGCCTGCCCCTAAAAAACTAGGGTTAGGGTTTGGGCCAGGCCAAGATAGGACCGGCCCGGCCCTTATAGGGCTAGGGCTAGCACTCAAGGGAATGGGGCAGGGATAGAACCAGGGCTGGCCCGGCCCGTTGCTAGCCCTTTAAAATAAGGACAGTTGACAAAATAATTGCCATTCATTTTTTTACTTTGAAAGCAACACCTCCTATTTGTGTTTTGGGCCATTAGATAATTTTTAAATTGAGAAACCCCGTTGTCTAGGCATCTTACATAACAAGTATATGCAGTTGTTTCCGTTATAACAGCTGTTTTAAAACTATGCCTTATTTGTCCATATTTCGTCCAATAAAACGAGTGTTTTTGTAATCCATGCCCTCGATAGACACATTCCCACCGTTATAACGGCCATTTTTACACCATGCCTTAATGCACACACCTCACTGAAACTCTGCACCCTAACCCCTAGACCCTAATTTCACGTTACTCACACACGCTCTTGCCTTTGAGCCATTAAACCCTATCCCTTATGTTTTGTCGATGGACTGAATTCTTTATTGCTTAAACCTACTTTATACAATGTTGTGTGCCAAATAAAATTAGTGATGGCATGCAAGTGGTCTAAGTCTAACAAGATAAAAGCCCCATGTATTTGATTAATGCCAAAAAAACCATCCTAAATAGCCTTTTTTTTTTTTTTTCTTCTTCTTTTTTTTATGGTGTTTATTTTTTCTTTTTTTTCTTTCTTTTTGATGGTGCCCTCCCATGGAGCTTTCTCTTACTTTTTTTTCTGAAATATCACTGGCGTACGAGCAGTGTTTCAAAAATTGCCTGAGTGGGAGGGGAACAGGAAGGATGGTGATTTTGGGTTGAAATACACAACAATCGTTCAAGTCTCCCGATTTTTTGTTTCTTCTTTGTTTTTTGATAGTTCTGACTTGGTCTCGAAGAGCATTGAAGTTGGTGGAATCAGAACCATACTCTACCCAATTGAAGGCTGGTTCTGATTTTCAAAACTTGTATGAGAGCTAAGATTGTTGCTAGGCATATTTGATTTCTTTTCTCTTTATGGCATGTAGGATAACTCCAACCAATGCCATTGAAATTAAAATTTTTTTTTTTGACAAATGTTATCACAATTTTATTGTTGATAGAGAGGTTATAATGCCATTTAAATTATTACAAACCAAACCTTGTTTGGCATAGTCATGCAAGAACGATACCGATGGATGATCCTTTCAATATTTTATTTTTTTTTTTGTCTTTTATAGATTAGTCGAAAAAGAGTCTCCATGGTAAAAATAGAATTAAAGACGTTATGTTGTGGCATCCAACATCCTTACCATTATGCTTTGTGTCTTTCCTCACTTCAACACTCTCCATTTACTAATGGTCATTTTTTAAAAAAAGACCTATGTGATATTTTGCCAGGGAATACAAAGTTTTTTTTTTTATATAATGATAATAATCACCCCTTTTTATTTTGGCAAAAAGATCACCTACAGATGATCTTATTACATTCCATAAATATTTCAAAAAAAAGCAGCACAATAATAAAATAAAAACTCAACCACTTGATGCCATTAATTCAACCTAATACTATGCTTGAAAATATAAAATAAAAGAGCAAAAAAGTAAAAAAGAAGATGCTGGAGATTACCTCGACCGGGCTTATTACACCCCACACCGAGTCACCACATCCAGTGGTATTGGATCAGCGGTCTAGCTTCAATCTCAAACCAGTAAAGCTAATTTCGGCCAAACTAAATAACCACCCTTAAATCTTTACAAAACCTTAACTCCGAAATAATTAGGCTCAAACTTTAATTTTCCTAATCTTTAAATCTTTAGGTCAAGAGAGAGAGAAAATGAGATGTAGGGTTGGGGCGTACCCCCTATGGGTCTTAGGAGAGAGAGAGAGGGAGAGAGAGAAAGCCTGTGAGGAGAGAAAGGGGCAGGCCCCTAGGGAGGAGAGAGAAAGTTTATGGGAGGGGGAGGTTATGGGAGAGAGAGAAATGTGTGGAGATGGAGGGAGAACACCCCTATTTATAGTGAAATTTAGGTCTAGAGTTTCCCATAGTTTACATCTTTCTTGAGATTGAATATAGACCATTGATCAAGGTGACTTGTGGGGTGAGAGATTTGAGTCATTCATTCCATAGGTGTGTCATCAGCATTATGGAAGGTGCATGAACCATTATCCCCATTTTCTTAAACTATTTGCTATCAATATATTTAAATAAAATAAATCCATTAAAGATATCATACATCCCATAAAATTGTATTATCTATCTCATATATTCCATAAGAATATATAAAGAAATATCAAGATAATATTTACTATATTAAATAGATAAGATACGGTCAATATTTACTATATTACAAATTAACCATATGTCATAAGATACACTTTCCATATTTAAATAACTTGAACATAAGGCTATCAAAACGAATCCAAAGGGGTGGGGACGTGCCACCCCTACGTGGCACATGTGGGCCCCACCCACATGCCATACGTTGGGCCTATGTGCATTATCCCATAGAATTCTATAAAAAAATAATTTAATATATATTTGAATTTTTTATAACTTTGTCAAATCAATAAATGTATTTTTATAAGTCAAAAAATCATAAATAAAATATTGAGAGATTCATAAAAATTTAAATAATAAAACTAAAATCATTTAAATAATAAAATGAACACAATTAAAGTAATATGATAGGAAAATGACCCATATGGTTTTAGGAATTTAATATATAATTATGGGGTACTCCACCTTCAACTATGGACTACAGACCACACTTATTTTATAGAACCGACCCAGTGTTTCACAGTCCAAGTAGGGGCTCACTAGCGGGTCATCAAAGTCTGACCAATGAGTCAAGGGGTTGCAATCTCAATTTGTAGATTACAGGTCCTCCACTAGAGACGAGTCAAGGTCACCACGACCTGATGCGACCATAACTCTATGGTGCATAGGGGTATCTCTCGCACATGCATACGCTTCATCCAAATGGTAGATAACTTGCTTTCTCGAATGATCTATCGATATACATGCCGTGTAATGGATCATGGATGAGGTTTTGGCCTCCGTCTCTGTAGGCTTACCATCACACACAAGGGTCACACAGTCCCTCGGCTTACTCATCTAGGCATAAGCTCCGACCTCATCAAGGGTTAACCCAAAACCCTTATCCGTTTATTCTTTATGCTCAAGTACCTTGGGTTTTCCAACCGACTAGCCTAAATCGTCAAGCACAGTATGGTATCAGCAAACATCATTTGCTTAATATGGTCCTTGAGGGACCACACTCCTACTAAATTTATATTCTACTATAATAAATGATTTTCATTACACACTCATAAAGCCTTTAAAGGCCACATAAACCCAACAATTTTCTTTCTCACTTTTGTTTCTTAGAATAGTCGAGTAGCAAATCGAACACCAGGCAAACACCAAAAAGATGGCATCATGGTTATGGCATTTGATTTGAACTATGTGGTACTTTGGTTTGGGCTTAAAGGACCAAACCAAGCAGTAAACCCAAGGAAAACACAGTGATCCATAGGACCACATGGAATAATCCTCATATGTATTAACCTCGTCCAACATTTAGCTGGATGGTGATGGATTCAATTCAGTTATGCATCCCAACGGTCTCCCCATCACTGTACAACCTATTGATCAAATGGTGATGCGGTTGTGCTTTAAATGATCACAGTATATTTTTCCTAAACTTCACAATGTCCTCATCCAACACAAAAAGACAGCGTTAAGTGCATCTCAAAGTCCAAAGAGAAGTGTCAACAAAGACCTAGTTATTGGGAATTTTATTCACCTTCACTAAATCAACCATTTCACTTATACTAAACCCATAACCATTACTTACCAAAAAAAAAAAACATAACCATTTCTATGCTAAAATGAATTGATCCAACATAGACTTTAGGGGATCAAGGGTATATCTACCAACATTATTTCTTGGACTAGAGCAAAAATGCCACTTGCTCTACTTAAATGACAATGTTGATGAGATCTTCAAGTTGCTCTCTAGCATCAACATATTGTCAAGATAGACGAGAGAATTCAACAATCTTGCAAATTCTTTAGAGACAAGAATATTGATTGATCTATCTTTTGATTGCCAACACAAGTAATAAATTTTCCACTTGTTCTTCGTGCATCATGCATGCTCAATTTATACATGTGCTAACATTGTATCGACAAATGATAATGAAAAAGGGAACATATACTGCTACACACAACACATGTCACACCAAACAGGCCATTGCCGACAAAACAACGGCTGATCCGGCATGTAATATACTGTTTGAAAACTACACGAATCAAACTACATCCCTCACTTAGGTCAAGGACTCAACTCCCACGGTATCATGGTTGTCGAAGGGCATTTTAAGTAATTAGCAGGATGTTGGAGTATTTGTCCATTGTCAGATAGGGTTAGGGTAGTGGAAATATGGCTGATGATTGAAGACGGTAAAATAATTTAATTTTTCTCAATTTGCGCGAGTTCGTTTGCCTATTGTTTGGACCGTTGTTTTACAGTGTACCTACGTAGCCCGCCAAGCTTCCAGGTACACCGCAATAAACCCTAACCCTAACCCTAACCCTAAACCCGCGAACCCTAATCCATTATTTCATGATACAACAACCCTAATAGTCTGATTACTTTGCACTTACAGTTCATTGGTATCATGTTTTCAATAGGAATGCATTGTTTGATCGTAAAACTGAGTGCTCCTACCAATTTTCATGGGCTCTGCGTTTTTTTGTTGGTTTGTGAGAGCTACGGAGTTTAGAGTGAGACTGAGCTTGGATTAAAGGAGAGTTGGTGCTTTGCTTCTCATATCTGTTTCCTTTACCTTTTTTGGTTTTGCTTTCTTTTGTTTTCTGTTCTGTGTGCTTTTTGCTTGTTGGAAGGCTTTGGACGTGGCTTTTAATGGCCCTGGTATCATTGGGAAGTTGTGAAGGGTTGGTTTATGATCTTGGATAATGGAAATATTGGTATTGGGTCTTTAAAATATGATATTGCAAAGTTGGACTGGATGGAAAATTGATATCATAAAACTGGATTTGGTTGTTGGAGGTTTTGAGTCTTTTAAGAAGATTGGTATTGTAATATATTGTAAATTTTGGATGCATCATTAGAGGGTTTTTGTTCTCTAAATATTAATGAACGTATAGAGAACTTTGTAAAAAATGACGTAATAAATGATGCCAGACACGTATTTAGATGAATACATCTCTGCAGAAGTATCAAAGATGACCACAATGCATACTTTTTTTCCGTAACTTTTTGTGCCTGCTTCTCAACATTGACTTTCCCTATAGTCAGTGGTCAAGGAAATTGTATTTTGCAAGGAAAGAAGTCTAGAGGGTTCATGAAAGGAAGCTATTGTTCATTATTCTATTTGTCGAATGTGGATGGGTGTTTTTGAAGTGTGTTTTCCTAAGGCATGCTTTTGATGGTTTCTGTTTTTGAAGGTTGCGATGGCGGGGAAATCTGGCAGAGGGAAAAACAAAGGAAAAGGGCCTAATTCAACACAAATTAATTCTACAAGAGATGCAAATGCTACTGATTCTCATGTGAATTCGAATGAGGCATCTGATGTTAAGGCTGGCAATGAAGAAAGCTGCCCTGTGGTGGAGAATGCTTCTTCTGCTGATGAGGCAGTCGATTCAAAGGCGCAAGAAACAAATGTTAATGCAGCAGCATTAAGCAATGGACCCAAGCAAGCTGATAGTACTCACCTTCTACCTCCTTCTCTTTCTTGTTTGTGTGTCTGTATGCTTTGCTGTGACAATTTGTGATATGGATACATATGGGTGTTTCTAGTTTTGCCTTTTTTTTAATTGTACTTCTATATTGTGCTTCTATTGGATTTATTTTCCAAGTAGATTGGCACGACTTTCCTGTTGTTTCCCCTGTTGCTTCTGTACTGAATGTTTGTTCGCCCTTCCCTTAACAATGATTTATTTGTAACATAAATTTGAATGCCCCATTAATAATTCCATATTGAAACATGAAGCAGCTATAGGCTCACTGTAAAGTGTTAACTACAGTTGCTACTTGGTCACTCATATGGTTGCTACCGATTTTCTGCCTGATTGTTAAACAATCAACATTCTTCAAAATGAATTCGGATCTTTACTCAAGATATTGAATAAGTTGGCTGTCTGATAATTAACAAATGAAATACCATGCACACACACATACACACACATACTGAATTTTTCCATCCATTGTTGAACCAATGGGAAATCTAGATAGTTGTTGAATTGATCATGCCTCAGTCTTGAAAAATACCAGTTGAAAAGACAGGTGCAACTAGTAGCCAGCCAGATCCCTTGTTACGACTTTTTGATTTCTCCAGAAAGACTTAGAACATGACAATAGTCAATTAAACAATAAAAAATAGTGTGATTAATATAGCTCTTATTTGTTTCTTGAACTATTGAATATTCACAAAATAATCAACAAATTCAATCAATTAATTTTGATATTTATTTAGAGGCCTTTTGATATTTCTTCACAGAATGTGGAGTTATCATCAACCTGAGCACAAATGTTCCTGAACTACACCAAATTTAATCATGCATAGAGTGTGTTGGAAGTTCATTTTTTCCATCTGCCATCTGAGTGTAGGTTACTTATTATTCATGAATTATGTAGATTTGCAGGCTCTTAAATTTCAGGTTTGCCCAATGACTAGGGGTAAGTAGTTCAAATATTGGTATTGTGCAAGTGAAGAATGTCAAATACTGATACTCCAATTCATTGCCCCTTACTGAATTAATTTCACTTAATCCAATTTTCCTCCAAAATATGAGTTACTCTGGGAAAAGGTTATTCTTTACCCAACTAATGTGACAACTTGACGTAATAAACATGAGAGACAATGCTGTCAAATAGTTTGACTTCTGAGCATAACCTTTCCAGTAGCTCAAGCATTAGCTACTGTCATTTGTTGTTAAGGAATACTCTCTCTCTCTTTCTCTCCCTATCTCTCTCTATCTCTCTCTATGCTGTGGTTATGTAGGTGCATTATGTATGTGTGCACACACACACGTTTTCAGGTAGGTAGGTGTTTCAGAATTCGTTCTATGCAGCAAAGATGGAATATTTGTTCTTTTAAGGAATCAAAATTCAATACTCTTGTCACTCCAGTAGGCTGTTATTTATCCTGTTCCTAGTATAAAACGATCTTTTTTATATTTATTCCCGTGTTCACTGCTGATATAGTTGTTCTCTAATTATCTCCCATTATAGGCGACATTCATCTATATCCTGTCTCTGTGAAAACACAGTCTGGGGAAAAGCTAGAACTTCAGGTGAGTTGATGGTTTTAATTGTTTGACGATGCACCTTCTGTTTAACAATCTTCTTTGAACAAGTGTGGAATGGGTTACAAATGTGGAATTGGTTGGTATGGGGAGAATAATTTTTTTTTGTTATCAACTCAGTTATACAAATTACATTGCATGAAAGGTTATAAATTGCATTTGAATTTAGTCATTAAAAAAAAACTTGCATTTGATTTCGATGTTTATTTGTCTGGTGAAAAGACTGGATCTCAAGAATTCCCTGGGTTTATTTCCTTGTGGGGGTCTTAAAGTTTGACCTCTATTGAGAAAATAGTTGTACTTTTTAATTAAAAAAGAACTAAAAATTGTATAAATTAGAAAACATAATATTGGGAAAATATCAGAATGTCTTGCCAAAATAGTTTTAAAAAAATTACACTTTATATGTATTTATTTTATATACTGATGCATATTTGAATATATGCATGTTATACTTGTGCATATGTTAATGTGTGTATTTATGAGCATGCCCGTGTTTATGGTACATTTTTATGTATCTTTACGTACATGGATGTGTAAACATCAATAAGCAGAGATTTGTAATATGTAAAGCTCTCCTTCATTATAATCTCTCATACTTTTTGCTGTCCTTCATATCTCTCTCTATTGTTTTTCAATTGGCTTTAATTTGCTTTATGGCATTTGCTGTTATTTGGCTTGTTGCCTTTTCTTTTCTTGTATTGTCTTCCTTCTGTACATGTCACTCAAGATTGAACTTTTATGTTGTTATTAGTTAGTTAACTTAAAAAAGATTTATTTATTTATTGATGTTGTTGCGTGTTTGTATGCTGTCACTTTATATGGGAACTAGGACTTTTACTGCCATGCTAGCTTGATTTGTCTTCCATATTCCCTTTATTTCTGAAATTATTAACCTGGCATCAGTCATTTGTTTGACACTGGAAAAAGTGGATAGACTTACTAAAGCATTTTGGTTTTGTTTTGTGGATATAGTTGAATCCTGGAGATTCTGTGATGGATTTGAGACAATTTCTACTTGATGCACCGGAAACCTGTTTCTTTACATGCTATGATTTGATAATGCATGCGAAGGATGGATCAATTCATCATTTAGAGGACTATAATGAAATTTCTGAGGTTGTTGATATTACTACAGGTGGTTGCTCCTTAGAGATGGTTGCTGGTGAGTTGTTCTTCCTTTTCTGTTTTTTGGAAGTAACGAGAATATGAGACCATAAAACAGAAATAATGTTATGTTCAAGTTCCTCCTTATGAAATAATATAACCCGTCCTATTTATGGCTTGGGGTTTTTTACAAATGTAAGAGCATCAGATATATTTTGGTTTTGGAAATCAGCATGTTTTTTCCTTTTTGGGTGAATTCTGTTACTCTTAAAAACTCAAGCCTTGTTCCAGTAACTTTAACTTAATGGAAATGTCTCTACGCAGCTTTATATGATGACAGATCCATAAGGTCTCATGTCCGTCGTGCCAGAGAGTTGCTTTGTCTGTCCTCACTTCATTCGTCATTATCAACAGCCCTTGCTTTGCAGCATGAAGCAAAGCAGCAGACTGCTTCAGGTATTGTATCTACCACCACTTTCTTCCTTTTGTTCTAGGCTGATTCGAAATTGAAAAGAAAGTTACTTATTGATTTATCATGCTTGGAAACATAAATATCAACAGAAATACCTCTTTAAATTCCTTGTTCTGCTCTGTTTTTTATTTATTTATTATATCATGCAAACTGTTTTGGTTTACTAGTCATCTAAGTGGGCACTGTTTTTGGCTCGGGAAATGGATATTACTCTGGGAACCATGGGTTTTCTCAAGGATAACATGCTGTCTTGATTGATCAACATGCTGTCATGGTTGTGATTTTCTTTTAGATGACATCAATAATTTGCCTGTTGTAATTTGGCTGCATAGCAGATGTTTCAAATGGTGATCTCTGAGAAGAGCAAAATGGTCTTTACTTTATTGTTAACCATGCATTGCTATATATATATATATATATATATATATATATAAGTTTATATAAGTGCGAGGCTCTAAACAATGAAATTAGAGCACACCTCAAAAATTTCGCTAGAAGAGGTTGTTTTGACGCTCGAAAATCCTCAAATTGATCATCTCGACCTCAAGATGCAGGTACATGAGACAAAAATGGATTTCAAGTTTTGGAAATAGTGTATCTTGTAATGCATTTTTGGGCCGTCAATTTTCAAGATTTTCAAGTTTTCATAGATTTGCTTGATCTACACTATTTTTGAAGCTTTACATTTTATAATTAGAGATGAAAATAAGTTTTAAGGCTATCACAATGATTTCTAGTATTGAAACCACATTTGTCGGCACTATTTGAAGGTGTGCTTTGCTTTGATTGTTTAGAGCCTCAGCCCTATACAAACCGCACCCTATATACATACACACACACACATGTATATATTTATATATATATATATATATATATATATTCACACACACACGCACACACATATATATTATTTATTTTTTTATGTTGTAGGTTTCGTGTGTTTATATAATCAGAATTTTGGGGGTGCTTTTACTGAGATTTGGAGAGCATGGTCATGGCAGCTGCTTTCTGTGCTTAGTTGTCAGCGAGTTTATTCTCACTTGCATCATTTTTTTCTCTTCTTATCTGTCATATTTTCATCTGGGTTGTGAGCTTGGTTTGTGAGCGCTTAGATGGGCAATTCTGTCGGTTAATTTTATAATGATGATGCAGAGAAAGTTGAAGTGCCAGAGCTTGAAGGTTTAGGTTTTATGGAAGATATTACTGGTTCACTTGGTAATTTGATCCCAGCATCTTCCCAGGAGATCGAATGTGTCGAGAGCATTGTTTTTTCTTCATTCAATCCTGCTCCAGGCCATAGGAGGTAGAAACTTTGTCAGAGTCTTACCATTCATGTACTCCAATTTCATTTTCATTCTGACTGTTGATGTTTATCATTCTGTCATTCTAAAGTTTGGTTAGCATTCCTCAAAATTTTTTTCGGTTAGCAGTCATCTCTATGCACATAGGCTCATCTTGAGTAGCTCCAGTGTTCCTCTCTTATTGTATTTCAATTTCTTACTTTCACGACATATGATGGTTTCATAGTTCTACCAAACAGAAATTTTGAGAGTAATTATGGAATTAGAAGATAAACCATTGATATGATTTAAGTAAAATTGTCCTGAAAAATGGGGTAACTCCACATTATCTGCTCGAAATATCCATAGAGGATAGCTTCTGTCCCTAACATGGCAATTTTTACACGATGAATGGAGAGGAGGTTTTCATTGTTTGGTTAGATATGTTAAGTAGCTAAAGTTCTTGGACGTCTGCTTATTGTGTTGATTCGGTCCTCTGAAATTTTATTTTTCTTGCATGAGGATCTTGTAGAACTTTGGATACTTATAAGTGAAGTTTGATTTGTTCGAAGGTAAAGCTAGAAAAATGGCACCTTTTTGAGACTGCTGGGGGAGGCTTTCTTTTGGAAATGGACATGGGTCAAAATTCATTTTTTTATTATTAGCATTGTTTTAAAATGTGGCCACATTGTTGCATATGCGGCCGGATAATGCGCTATGTGCCACGAAGCGCATCGCATAGGGGCACATATGTGCTTTGGTGGAATGCACCTGCATATGCACTGCATCCGACCGCCGCATATGCCGCAGCATAGCGCATAGTGCATATGCACCACATAGCTCATGGGTGAAAATAGTGCCCATGAGCATGGGTACTTTGGTCATTGCCCTCCCCCTCCCCCAAACACAAAAAACAGCCACATTCGTGGTTGTTTTTGGATCAAACGAAGAGAAAAAAAATTAGGCAGAAATTATTTTTGCAAAAAATTGTCGATTTGCTTACGTTGTTGGTTGGGTTGTCAATAGGGATTATCTTGGGCGTTGTTTTGAAGAAGTTTGAGCATATATTCGTCAAAATATCAAGGGTGTCAGGGGCTGAGTTTGCAATTGCGATTATGGTTTTCGGATGTTTATGATTTATGATAATATGACGTCTTCTAGTGTCTTCTATAAATTTACTTTCAAGTTTCTAGTTCCTACTTTCTAATGCCTTCTAACAAGGAATTTAGAGTCTCCGCGCAACTAACATTATTGGAGTGAATGAATAAACTAAACCTACTATCACATAAATCACCTCCATGTTTTTTTTATCCATTAACCTATTTTTTGAGATTTTTTGGATCTTTTGATGTGCTTGCATTTGGACCGCATCGAGTTGCATCCCCACATTGGCACCTTGACTGCATTAGGACCGTATCCCGCATTTTAAAACACTGATTATTAGTATTACTATTTTTTTTTTTGTGGGGGGGGGAGTTATCCGAAGGTTTGTGAGGTTTGATAAACAATTAGAAAGGTGTTTGAGAGGGAGTTTAGACAAGGGACTCACCCAAAGGTTCTCAACATCCAACAACTGACTAGAAATGGAAATAGCGGGACAGGGAGACTTCAAAAGCTCGGTTTTGATACTCGATGAATGGTGGAAGAAGAGGAACGTGTAGAAGTGTGTAAAAGGTGGATGACTTTAGCTTGATGGTAACATACTGCCTTGAATGTAAGAGGGGCGTTTCCTTAATTGATGAGTGTCAGCCTGCAAATTTATCAGGAACTATGGTGTAGTTGTGGTCTTGTTACTGAGATCAAAGCTGGAAGTCTAAGCAAAAGTTCATTAGATTCTTTTGGGACTGGGGGCATGGGTGGGCTGCCTGTCCCATTGCTTCTACAATAGAAGTAGTTGAAGTAAGTTCCAAAAGGGGGATGTGTCTCTCTTAACTTATGGTTCATAAGTTCCAAAAGGGAGATGTGTCTCTCTTAACTTATGGTTCTTAACTGATAGATCAGTTGGAAAGAGTGTTCCTATCTTATAATGGCATTGTCTCTTATTAAATTGTAGAAGCTGTTGGCCTGCATGACTCATTAAAACCAGATAAAGTTTCTTGATTATATTTTGGATTAAACAAAAGTTGGAAATAAACTTTGAGGGGTCATGCACACTGTATGCCTGTCTTTTGTAACTTCAACTTTCTAGCCCAGTGTCTAGCCATGTGTCTCATATTGTAAATCTTTCTGATGCTTGGCGAAGAACAACTCTATCTGCATCTAGTTGGCTTCCTTGTGGACCAGAAAGATGATTCTGAAATGGGCCCGCAACCTTGTTTATAAGCTTGTCAAATTACTGTACCATGGGCAAGCTGAATCACGCAAGTGTCAAGTACTTCCATTCTTGCAAGAAATTGTTAATACATGCTTTATTCAATGTATAGGTTTTGGTTAAGCATGATGAGAATCTCTTTGGGTGTCTATTTTTTTATCTCCAGCCTGTTGAATTAAGTTTAAACACCTCACCAGTGGATGGGAACTTTTCATTGCATGTTTGATGTCTGTCGGTTTGTCATTTTTAATTTCTAATTGTTTATAGTACCGGGTCCATTTATTAACGTTACAATTGTTTTATCCTTGTAAAGAAGATTGTTTTGAAGGCAACTGAATTGATATTGCTAATTCTTAACTGGGCTAAAATGTAGCAGGCGCTTCTACGTTCCTCTAAAAGGGGGTTCTCCTAGATATCAGTTGGCTAGTTACTCGCTGTCTTACAATATTTGTAATAACGTTTTCCATAGATTTATTTCGCACATATTTGTTGCAAAGATATGAGAATGGTGATTCTGTTCTCTGCAGGTTGGCTGGGGATCTCATATATCTGGATGTTGTAACTTTAGAAGAACATCAATACTGCATTACAGGAAGTACAAAGGTGTTTTATGTTAACTCCAGCATAGGAAATATGCTAGATCCTACACCAGGAAAACCTGCTTATGAGGCAACAACCGTAATTGGCCTTCTGCAAAAAATTAGCTCCAAATTCAAAAAAGGTAGATATGAACTGACACAAGTATTGCTGATGCTTTTCAATGTGAAATAGTGTTCATTACTCTGCTAAAAATGTATATAATGATCTGCTTGATTTCTCATGAAGGTTTTCGTGAAATTTTGAATCGGAAAGCTTCGGCACATCCATTTGAAAATGTGCAGTCTCTATTGCCACCGAACCCATGGTTAGGAGTGTACCCTATACCTGGTATATCCTTCTCCAATAAAATATATTAATTGATTTGTTGTCTCCTGATTCTTGATATATGTCTTGAGAAGTTTACTGTACCTTCATGGATGTAACCTTCTTTTCCTGTCTGTAGTTGAAGGTTCTCTAATGTTTTGGACTTTGGCTGGCATAAGCAGGAAATAGTTCTTATCTGATTTCCAGTCTTCATTTATGTAATTTCTTGTCCATATTCTGCCATACAAAATCCATCTCATTGAGTTTCTCACCGGGAACAATTGAATTCCCCGCCCCTCCGCCCCCCTCCCCGCGAGCAGGGGGAAAGTTGATGTGTGTGTCCATAAACATACACACAGAGTTACAGACATATGTACATACATAAATTCCAAAAAGTTGCCCACGTGAGATGCAATAAAATCATCCCAAAAGTTGAGCTGATCTTCAGAGGACCATTTGAATCCTGTTATGAGTAAATTCTACATACATTATATGAGCTAGTTTTAGAAAATGAAAGAATCACTATTCTTGTAGCTTCTAGTCATAAACTAGATCAGTTACAGTTTACGTAGAGGGTGGTAAATTTTGTGGAAAATGATGGACTTTCTGATCTCCAGGAGACTTGGGCAAGTCCAATGTGTAGCATGAGTCCTGCATATATTTGGGGAGGTTTTGTGAGTCTATATTAGTCCACCGGAGAGTTAACTCGTTGGCATCTAAAACTGAGTTGGCTTGGCTTGAATTACCTGCTGGCTCTCTGGGTTTTTGTATGATGTGTCTATATCAAGTTTTCCAATTATATTTCTCTAGTACAATTACAAGTACTTTTGTTGAAAGGCTGGACTAATGGATGCAACTACATGCGATGCATTGAGTTCCTTTACATGGTTTATGTTGAATATACCATCTTGATGCTTTCTATTTATATTAAGTGAATATCTCCTCGATTTAACTTTATCCCTGGGTACTTGCATTGCCATGTGAATTGTTTGACAAGATTTAACATATTTTTCTATCCAGCTTGGAATAAAAACAAACAAACTTGCTATTGTGATTGGATGAGCTACAGAAAATAAACATCAAAATAAAGTAATGAGGTGGGAACATGGAATAATCTAGTAAAAACAGTGAGGAAAGAGGAGCTGGCTACTTATTTGTACTTAGGGCCCTTTCACTATTTATCAGAAATCATTTTGAAGGAGTTGTTACTGGAACATTGAACTAAGCATTGTGTTCAATAACAAAATGAACTGTGCACTGTCGCATATTGTTAGCATTTACTAGGACTCATGGGAACCTGCTCCTGTGTATGTGTGTGTGTGGCCTGTGTGTGTGTGGGTGTGCATGTGCAAATGCATCTGCATATGCATGCCTGCATGCAAACAGGCATGTGTAAGTTGTGGGGAGTTGGTGGTGTGAGGCTGGCTTATTAGGAGAGGTTTAGTTTGTAGATTTATAGCTACATAGTAAGAAAACTAGCAGAAAATTTGTTTTTCTTGAGGTGACGGCATTCCATTGTTATCACCTGAAATTGACTTGCTTGATTGAAGAATTTAAGGTTTTGTTAGCTTTTCTTTCAAAATCTTTCTGTTTATTTGCTATTTCTTATATCATTTCTGTTCATAATGGTCATTCTATTGTTATTCTCTGTATCGCTCTTGCATGGATTCTAATCTCGCTATTGCTTCTGCCATAGCAGGCAGGAGATGAGGTCTTTGAGTTGTTTTGCTAATGAGATTTTGATGACCTCAGAGCACAAAAGGGATGCTGCTAGAGCTGAGGATGCTTTGGTCCTTTCCTATGGGAGTGAGCTGATTGGTATGCAAAGAGATTGGAATGAGGAGCTACAATCTTGCCGGGAGTTTCCCCATAACACCCAGCAGGAAAGGTGTAACTATCTCTTCCTACGAATGTAGTTGTTATCGTAACCTCATCCAGTAATTATTATTTTTAACTGCTTTGTTTATATTTGTGGTCTACAAGGGCTTTGCAATGCAGATTCATATTTGGTTTCGAAGAAAATGTTGACAATGTATTCTTTTGTTGCAGGATTTTGCGGGATAGGGCTCTATATAAAGTGACATGTGACTTTGTGGATGCGGCAACAAACGGCGCAGTTGGTGTCATTAATAGATGTATTCCGCCTATAAATCCGACTGATCCTGAACGCTTTCATATGTAAGTATGTATAGGGATTGTGTGAACACAGATATACACACAATCACATGAAAACACACAAACACATGCGTCCTTGACAAGCTTTTATAATGGAATTAAACATATATGGTGGTCTGGGGAGTTTCACATGCTATGCTCCTGTAGATCTCTTAGGTACCGTTGGGCAAAGAACTGATCCACATTCTTTTGCCTGGACCACCATAAAGAATCAACACCTCTTCTAGGTGATCCAACAGACGCCCTAAATGCTCCATTTCTGCGTCACTCAGGTTTCTTTTAAATCTCAGTCTCCAGATCATCTGATTACCCTAATTAAATAACCTCACCAGCATCTTCCGTCATGAAGATGTGCTGGTTAGAGGTGGAAATTGAATCTAAGACGCTTCATTCTCATGCTAAACATCAGCCTGTATGGTATCTATCTTTGCTCACTGTGCACCTGTGTGTACATTGTTGGTTTCAGCTGTTGCAAAACGTGCTTGTGTTTGCCTGTTTGTAGCTGAGTTTGTTTCTGCTTAGTTTTTATAATGGATGGGGGAACAGGATCTATGAGGAGTTGGTTAGGGAGGCGGGTGCCACAACATGACATCTAGGTTTCCATTCCCGGCAGGTCCCACATTAATATTTTAAAAAGAAAATGTATGACATTAAGATGAAGGCTCTAGTGCTTGTGTTTGTGAATCTGTGTTTGTGTTTGTGAATCTGTCTGTGTACTCGTTGAATTTGTGAAAAAACTCTTCAGAGATAACATTTTGCCAGTTGTGTCCCTTAGGACGTCTTTATTGTATTTCATTCCCATTTCTTATCTCTTTGAATAATCTTTGATGGATCTTTCCCCAAGTATTTTGGAGAGTTGCTATTTCTTTTTCCCTTACAGTCTTGTGTGGATTCTATGGTTAGTGTGTGTGCCTCCCTCTGTTTCTTATTGTTTTATATTTTCAGGTATGTTCACAATAATATATTCTTCAGCTTTGCTGTGGACTCCGATGTTGGACAGATGGAGAAATACTATATTTCAGGTTTAATTTTGAAATCTTCTCAGGATGCTGAGCATTGTGAAGTACTTGTCTCTCCTAATGAATTGTCTGGAAAGGCTTCTTCTGATTTGTCGAATGGATTGAGTGGTGCCTCTAGTGCACCTAAATCTGAGGCAGAACATGGTGATTCAGGGGTTTCTCCTGGAAGAGCTATGGAGCAAATGATTGACAGTGAACAAGCTACTTATGCCTCTGCAAATAATGACTTGAAAGGAACAAAGGCCTACCAGGAAGCTGACGTCCGTGGGTTACACAATCTTGCTATGGCCATAATCGACTATAGAGGTCATAGAGTTGTTGCACAGGTCAGACTCAATAATATTAAGATTTTCTTTCTGGTGCTTTCTCGTCATAGTCTTTATTGAATTAAGATTTCTTAACTTATTTTTGCTGTGGCTATGTTACTTATTCATGATCTTCATTAAGTACTAAAGTATGAAATGACTACATCCATCTCTTCCTTGATTTGGTGCAAACCGCTAGTAAATTGCCATTACCACAAATAAATTACAGGCTCACCATGCTCAAGCTCTATTCTGTTTATTAGGTTTTCTTTCTGTTTGTTATTATTATTTTTATCTTTATCCTGCTGAAATTTCATTCGCAGTGAAGCTCAGCAATGAGCAGAAGTTAAAATGGAGATTTGATTTCTATCGAAGTTGAAATCTCCATGTTCATGCCGTCAAAATCATTATGATGATCCAATGATGTTAGGGATGGCAATCTCTGTTACTGGTTGGCATTGGAAAGTATTGAACATTCTCAATATTTTATATTATTCTAATGAGCCAGTGGAATAGAAGCTAGCTATGCTGTTTATTCTATGGGCCTTTTTGGGCCTCTTTATTGGTAAGGATGTTAAGTGAAGGTTCACTGAAGTTTTCACTTTCAAGATCTCACTGTAGGAACCTGGATGATGACCAATTTACACTATATATCCTAGATGAACCATTTTTGTGCCCTTAGTACTCATCTGAGGATCTAAGTTGCAGAAGGAACCCTGTGTGGATGCTGATGCTGTTGCCAAAGCTGGGGGGGAATATCCTACTCACAAGTTCCTTAGAAGGGGCTTGTAATTGTTGAATCTGGATTTTCTGGGTCAGCCGGATGTTCCCGTGATTGCTATTTCCATCAATGTCGCCACTCCTGGCTTCATATGGTGCTGAGTGAATTTGTACAATTGGGTGTTTTATTTTCCCTAGGAGAAGATTTCTTTTGTAGAGTTTGTGAGGAGAGGTAGTCTTTGTATGGATTGCTAAGCTAGGGGGATCTTGGGTTGGAAGGTACTGTAGAGTGGATTAGTCTTTGAGAACCCCATGGTCGCGCCTCAGCGGCGATTAGGGTCCTACTGGAGAAATCAGGTTGAAGGTTAATGGTTACAGTAAACTTGTGCAGGTTATACCATAGATTAGATGCTTGTTTGTGGTGGAAAATGGAGCAGTTGATGGCCACCTGTATGTCAGTGAGAGTTTAATGGTGAGATTTTGTGAATCTAATGGTGAGATTTAGCGTCAAGGGTATTACTGGTGGTGTCTTTTTTGATAGCCAAGGATTAAAATTGGATGCCTTGCTGTGGTTTCTTCTTTTAGACATTGATACTCGAAAACAATATTTTGTGTGGTCCTTTTCCAGTGTTTTGTCTGCATTGAACCTATGGTTTAGCTTAATAGTGTCCTACTTTCAGATGCCATTGACCATTTCTTACATCTCTTTTCGTGGGGGCATTGTTCTGCCAATATGTATTTCTTCTTGTGGACCTTTGGTTCAGTTTCTAATATAATTTTGATAAGCACATTTGAGAAACTTGGTGTCACTTAGTGTGCTGATGATTTCTATATTTTTCCAGAGTATCATTCCTGGAATCCTTCAAGGAGACAAATCTGATTCTCTTCTATATGGTTCTGTTGACAATGGAAGAAAAATTTGTTGGGATGAAGCATTTCATGCAAAGGTATGCAGCTTGTCAGATAATTTTGTGCTTTTTTGAAAGATTTACCAGAGAAAAGATGTAAACATATTCTTAAAGAAGTATTCATCATGAATAATTTTTGTTGTATTCAAGATCATGTTGTTATAATATGAAGTCTCTTGTAATTCTTTTCTCTGTTCACTTTATCTAGCATCATAAAGATTTCTTTTTTATGGCTTAAGTGCCGCATGCGGCTGCATACTCAAACATAAAAAACATATTTAATATGTTTTCCATATCTCTATTTAAAATGAAATATTGAAGCTGTATGATTTTGTTCCATTGGCCTGTACATTGCCTCAATTTATTGAAAGTGGATGATGTTGCTTCTGGTTTGCTTGAACTGAAGACCAATGTCACTTTTCAGGTGGTAGAGGCTGCAAAACATCTCCATTTGAAGGAGCATACAGTGCTAGATGGATCTGGTAATGCTGTGAAACTTGCCGCTCCAGTGGAATGCAAGGGTATCATTGGCAGTGATGACCGGTAGGTCAGAGCTAAATTTTATCTAAATCTGCATAAATGTCCTAGAAATCACTTTTCAGAAAAATAATGACACGTAACTGCACATCTTCATAAATAACAGGCAGCCTTTCTTCTTTTTGACGTCGCAGGATGTGATTTCATAAACAAACTTGCTATTATGATTTTCTTAATAAACGGTAAATAAAAGGATGAGAGTCTACAATTGGCACAAATAATATTGTGGAGCTGGAAAACTTAGTTTCCTCTCTGCCAATTGGGTTTTTCTGCCTTCATTTTCCAAACAAATTTCTTATATTGTGTGTTTTAAATTGCGATTTTACCCGTTAATCGTCTGGGAGCCAAATTCATTGCCTTATGGCCATTTTTAGTATACAAATTTTTTTCAATGTATCCCCACATGCATGTTAATTTTCCATTTGAATATGTAGTTTTGTGCAATACTGATTTCTGTTTATTCATGGTTTACCCCTATGACCAAAAAAAATAACCATTCATTCCTTAAACTAAACTATTCCTGATTTGCATGGTTGCTGCCCCCCCTCTGTATGTGTCTGTGTGTGCGCGCGCGCGTATGTGCGTGCGCATGTGCGTGCGTATTCAAGCACCTTCTAGGTTATTTGCATGAATCAGAGTCATGCATGTGCTTGCATCCTTGCACTGAAAGCCACAACTGCATATGTACCCACTTAGGATATCCATAAACTACGTGTTTAAGAAGCAGTAGCACATTTTAGTATAACTGTGCTGCTTGTGTTTTGTATTATTTCAGACATTATCTTCTAGATTTGATGAGGGTTACTCCAAGGGATGCAAATTACAGTGGCCCTGGGTTCCGATTTTGTGTTTTGAGGCCTGAACTTGTTGTTGCCTTTTGCCAGGTAGTCTTTTCATTTTTTTGCGTTTATCTTTGTGATTGTGAATTGAAAGAAGGCTTCCGTTCTGTTTTTTTTTTGAGTGGAACTTTGCAGCATGGTGAAGTGTCTCCCATCTAATTGTAGCATTTGTTAATCTGAGACAAGGCTGAAGCCGCAGAGAAGTTGAAATCTGCTAATGGTAAAGATGGAAAGGACACTGTGGAGTCAGGTTTGGTAGATGTCAATGGTGCTGTTAAGGGTGCAGAAGTGGCACCTTTGAATTCTGAGGTAGGTTCTGGAACAATCCAAAGAGGACATGCTTGAAAGGGTTTATTCAAAAGAGGACATGCTTGAAAGGGTTTATTCAAAAGAGGACATGCTTGACTTTGTTTTGTGCCTTCGTATCAAGGGTATGGCTGGTGATGATAAAAGCGAAGCTATAGAAAGTCACGATCCTGCACCTTTTTTAACTGAGGAGATCTATCTAAATCCCAATGTCTTAACTGAGTTTAAGTTGGCTGGAAATGAAGATGTGAGTTCCTCATGGTTATCTTTTTCTTTTTATTGGATTTATCAAAGAATGTTTTTCTGATATTGATGATGCTTACTATCTAATTTGTACGAGCTGGACCCTTTTGACTTATAGACTTATGTGTATCAGGAGATAGCGGAAGATGAAGCAATTGTGAGGAAGGCTGCTTTATATCTCATTGAAACTGTACTCCCCAAATTTATCCAAGATCTTTGTTCTCTTGAGGTTTCACCAATGGATGGCCAAACACTGACTGAAGCACTTCATGCACATGGCATCAATGTGCGGTATATTGGAAAGGTATGCATCTGTACTTTTTTGGGTACAGTTTGAGTTAAAGGCCCAAACATCTGGCTTAATTGATCCTATTATTCAGGTTGCTGAAATGACTAAACATCTACCCCACATATCAGATTTATGTATTGCAGAGATTGTTGTTAGGTCAGCGAAGCATATTTTGGAGGTAAGATATCGTTAATCCTTACCTTGTGTATAGTATTCATCTTTAGTTGTATGTATCTCTTTCTTTGTTACTGCTCTTTGGTTTTAGATCTTTCAGCAGCTGAGATCATGTACAAAGATTGAAAATTTCTACAAATCATACATTAGAAAGTTAATGTGCGGAGTGTAGATTTACTTGGCAAAGTTACAGACAACAGTATTTGGCACAGCTGCATATGTCTTGTCATGTGTTTGTGTGCACTTGCATGTTCTAGCAGGCACTTGCGTACTGAGATTTCTATGTATGAGAGATATATGATGCATCACAAATAGATAAACTTTATGGTTTCTCAGTTAATTGTACTCACTATGGGAAGCTACTGCTACAATATCTGGGGTGTTTGGATGTAAATCATGGAAAAATTGTACTTCATAAGTTTGTAATGGGGCTTGTTGTGCCAAGGCCAAAATGAAGGGGCATCATCTATTTTTATGATGCATATCATGAATCAGCACTTGAAAACTTTTATTGTCATGTTTTGTTATCTGTTGTAAATTTCGAGGTAGACAAAATAATTAGTTGTGTAGCTAAATTTCGAGGTAGACAAAATAATTAGTTGTGTAGCTATGACTTGCCGTTTTGAATTGGTTTGTTGCATGTTATGACCTGTTGACAGCCATCCATGTATCGATACATGTGGCACATAATACATCCAGTGTAATCGGCAGTCAAGGTGGTATTGATTAGGCACACCTTTTGTTATCTGGCTTCCCATTGGTTCTCCAGCCATGATTTTGAATCGTCTAATGTACCTTTTAAACAGAATGATACCTAATCTTTTGATTGATAACAACGAGAATTCAATACTTGAGAATTTCTTTTCTTCACTAAGGTAATTTCTTTTCTTCACTAAGGTAGCAAGGGCATCCTATGATGACCACGACCGAACCAGACAGAACCGAAAATGAGTCTGGGAGGTGCTGGCTGTCCAATTTCACAAAAAGGGCATTTGATTGGGACTTTGAATCCAATGTGAATTGAACTCACAATATTTTGGAAGCCAAGTGCACAAACTGTCCCACAATTAGGGCCTCAATTCTATTTCCATATCTATAGTATTTTTAATTCTTGCAAATCGTCAAATTTACCGTTGTACTACAAAATTATTGAATCAGTTATAATTCAAATAAATGCCTGTTTACTCAAATTTTCAACAACCTCCTATACAAAAATACTTCTAGTTCATGCATTAAATGGTAGAACATTGGGTGGGCTGTGAATCTTTTGCTCTTAATGAACTAATGATTCATTTCATGGAATTTGTTGGTTGTCGAGAATTCGGATGCATGGCTGGTTGACTTGTGGCCTGATGTTGAAAGAAAGAATGCCTGGCGCATGTTACGTTGGTTGAGTGTTTGGTTGGGAAAGCACGTACTTTTTTCCTGCAGTAAAGTTAGTATGGTACTGGTTAGTTTCAGGATAAGGTATGACATTCTGGAAAACTTTAATGGGCGAGTGGCTCTTCTCTTGGTACATACATGCATGGGAGACCCCTCCCTTATTGCAAATAATCATTAGATACTTTCTCTATATATTTGATGGAAGCCCAAGTGGGTCACTATGCAACTACAACCTTGTGTGAGAAACAGACGCGGAAGAATTACTAAACTAGCACCGGGTGTATTTCTTGTCTATCCAGACCAGAACTTGTTACCTTGGAGTCTTGGGTCAACTGGCACAAAAAGGAATCTCTTAGTTAGGGTTGTATTCATCATCATCGTCATCATCATACAAGCCTTATCCCAACTATTTTGGGTCGGTTACACGATCCCTTTTCTGCCATTCTGCTCTATGACCCTCAGTTTGACTATAAGTCACCATATCTCTTCTTACTACTTCCATCCATGATCTTTTGGGCATTTCCTTACCCTTTTAAAGCCTTTCGCTTGAAGCAAATCTCCCTTACTAAGTGGTGTTGTTCTAGGTCAACGCTGCACATGGGCAAACCATCTAAGTTTACTTTTCCTCATTGCTTATTGGAGCCACCCCTAAGTTCCATCAGATATATTCATTCCAAATTCTATTCTCTTGCCTTGCTACTCATCTATCTCAACATCCGTATTTCAGCTACACTTGCTATGGATATGTCGTCTCTTGATTGCCCAACATTCCGTCCCATCAAGTATGGCTACTCTCACAACTGGCCTATAGAATTTCCTCTTCACTTTTGTTGATATGCGATGTTCACATGAGGCTCCGAAAGCACAACTCCACTTCGTCCACCCACCTCTAATTATATACGTGACATCTTCCTCAATCTCTCTACTCTCATGAATTATCGACCTAAGATATCACAAATAAGATCCTTTAGGTACTTCTTGGCTATCAATCTTAACTAATTACTCATTTTTACTCTTGGTATTATTAAATTTGTATTCCATATATTTTGTCTTAGTCTAGCTAATTTTAAAAATTTTAGATTCTAGAGCATCCTTTGAAAGTTTTGACTTTGCATTGACGACGTCTCTAGTCTCATCAATCAAAATTATGTCATTTGTAAACAACATGCACCACAACACCTCATCTTGTAGGTGCACAATTAACCCGTCCATAACCAAATTAAAGAGATGGGGCCGAACATTGACCCCTTGATTTCGGCCTACTGTCTCCAAAAACTCACTTGTTTATCCATTAGTTGTCCTCACACTAGTTGATGCTGCCTTGCACATATCTCTCATTGTGTCAATATATCCTCTAGTGAGTCCTTTATTTTCCAACACACCAATTGGCTGTCTAGGTACCCTATCGTAAGTTTTCTCTACATTAATAATGACCATGTGGAGGTTTTCTATCTTCTCCCCCAAACTTCTCAATCAATTGCCTAAGTAGGAAAATAGCCTAATTGTTGACCACCTTGGCGTAAATCCGAAATGATTTTCTAATACACTCATTTCATGTCATTATCGGTGCTCATTCACTCTCTCCTACCGCTTCATAGTATGGCTCATAAGTTTGATCCCTCGATCGTTTATACAATTTTGTATAGCTCATTTGTTCTTGTAAATAGGTATCACAATATTTTTTCTCCATTTGTCTAGCATTTTCTGTATTCTCAAAATCTTGTTAAAACACTTTGGTCAAGCAGAATATGCCAATGTCTCCCATGTGCTTCCAAATCCATCTAGTCCTAAATCCTTTTATATCTTCATCCTTTTCAGAGTTTCTTTCGCTTCAAATATCCTAATCCTGTGAATGTACCTATGACCTCTAACCTCATTTATGTCAAACGTTCTTCTTAGCGTGGTGCTACCACAACGGTCATCATTAACAATTTTCGAAACTAATTTCTCCACCTTTTATAGACCTTATTGTCGTTCACCAAGATCCTATGTTCCTCACTTTTAATGCATTTGAACACGATCTAGATCCTTACCTTTACTCTATCTCATTTTTTCTTATTTGAAAACATCTTTTTCACCTTTCTCTTGTTCCCAATTTATTGTATATATTATCATATGCCTTAAGTGTAGCCTTACTACTTTTTTGTTAGTGTTCTTCTTGGTATTTTATATTCTTATGAGTTTTGATCATCTCTATTCTATTGTCAAGCTTTGTAATATGATCGGATTTCGCTAATAGCCTTTTGAACCTCATCATTCTACCACCAGGTTTCCTTATCTGAATGTCCTTTCCTTTTAGATTCTCCTAAAACTTCTTTTACCACTTTTTTAATCCCATCGGTCATCTCATTCTAGATAACACTAACTTCACCCTTAGAATTTCATTTTCCTTCTTCTATCAATTTATTTTTAGGTATGTTTATTTTCTCCCTTTTTAAATTCCACCACCTAGTTCTTGGAGACCTATTAATTCCACTCTTTCTCTTCCATCCATAACCATGTGGCTCTATTGCGTGGTCAACCTCTCTCCTGGGATAAGCTTACAGTCTTTACTTCATGTTTGATCTGCTTTGTTAACTAGAAAGCAGCCTGTCTTTTATATGATCACTTTTGAATTATTGAATATTTGTATCGCTTTTTAAAGTAAGGTGTTTGCTATTTCTAGGTCATAAGCCATCGCAAAATCAAGAATAGTATAACCTGTATTATTTCTTTTCCAAATCCATATCCTCCATGTACCTTTTCATATCGTCTACTATCTTTCCTCACATGACTATTTAAGTCCCCTCCTAAAACAGTCCTCTCTCCATTTGGTATTTCTTGGACCAGTCCATTTCATGTTCTTTCAGTTTGGGTTATTTCTGTTTATTAAATAATATAAGTTGACTAGAAGTCCAAGCATTTGCATTGTTTGACCAAAGAATGTCTAAAGGCTCGCTATTAAGGACACTTAGGTGATTGAATTGGGAGGGGATTGATTGCTCTAGCATTTAAGTCGTCTTTCTTAACTGGTCTTCTAATATATTGTTTTTTCTAGTTAATAATTACTTTTAAAAAGGCAATTATTCTATGAAAATGTATTCCATATGTTCCCCCTTTTTCCTCCTTGCTTGGATTGACTTGTCTGATTGTTGTTAAGGCTCCTAGGCAGTTTCTCATTTGGAATTTAATTATGCTGCTACATATTGGCCTTGGGCCATTTCAAAATTTTAATAGACTGCTACATATTGTCCTTGGGGGAATGTCTACAACCGTGTCTAAATGTCATGCAGTTAGAAACTTATCTCATTGTGTACCGCATAAAGCATTTTGCTTTTGTTATTTGCAAGCGCAGTCATTGGGATTGGGTTCGGGATCAGGATCAGGATCGGGTTAAAGGCTAAAAGATCCTTATTGTTTGGAGAGCTGTCCGTAGGATCCCATATGTTAGAGATCGAGATCACCAAATATTAAAGATCTTGATCCCTACCTTTTGGCTATCTTAGGGATCTCGATCCCATTCTCCCAACCTTAAGAGTTCTTTCTCCCATCCTTAAAAGAGTATATATAGTCTAGGACTATATAAGCTATTTAAAATAGGGATCACTTTATTTATAACCAACAAGCAATGAAACTATATTAAAAGTATGGTTGCATTGCAAGTTGGTTATAAGTAAAGAAGATATCTAGGTCTTTAAGGTGGGGATCAGATCCCAAAATTTTAAAATTGAGATCCCTTGAAGATACCCTTTTTGCACCACCAGAGTGAGATTCTTGAGCGGGATCACCAACTATGTTGGGAGATCCCAAGAATTATGTTTGCAAGTGTAGTGGATACTTAATAACTGCCTACATTGGAGCTACTGAGAATTCTCAGTGAGAGATCCATTTCTTTTGGAAATTATTCTAGCACTCTCTGCAGGAAATTATCTGCATGTTCTAATATAATGTTTGTAGAACTACATCTAATGCGATGTTTCTTGATACTTCATTTCCCATGATAAACTGGATGATAATCATATTACATTCAATCTGTATTATCCCGTGCAGGATGTTTTGAGAGACACAATAGATCATGATCTTGGATCAGCAGTTGCACACTTCTTCAATTGTTTCCTAAGGCATGATGTGCCTGTTGGTTCGAAGAATAGTGCTGGCAATGTTCGGTCCAAGACACAGAAGAAGGTAATACTGATACCCACCCTTTTTTGAATATGATGTGTATTAAAATTTAAAGGAATTATTGTATATCATGGAAGAAAACTGTCATGGTTTTTTAATTCTTTAAGATTATATACTAATCGTTTGCTGGATTCATCTTGTTTCGTGCATTAGCACCTTTACTCCTTGAAATATTTATATCGATGGATTTTATTGGGGTGGTAACATTATACCTGATCTGAGAGATTTCCATACATTGTAGACCTGCATTCTTCCTCATTCTTTTTGGTCTCTAGGACGGATGCTATTGACATACCTAGATTTCACTGTATTCTTGGATCAATGCTTATTTGTAACTCAATGCCTTGATATATTGCATGTGATGTGTCTACTCCAAGAGATTAAAAAGGCCAATGCTTTGTACTTAGTTGTCTTATTGCATCATTTTACTAGCATTGGTGGTGCTCCATTATATTCACTGCATGCAATATTGAAAATGCATAAGCAAGAGACCAGAAAAATTATTTTTTACCTCATCTTATTATGTTGTATCATTTTACAATCTTAGGTGGTACATTACTTAATAGTTTCAGTCCTAGGTGGTGCATCACTATTCTAGAAGGAGCCATATTCATACAAAAAAAAAAGGATGGGCTTTGAGAATGCCTGTTAAATTCGTTTGATACTCTATGGTTTGATCGAAATAAAACTAATTGGTTAGGCCTCTGCCTCAACTGAAAGAGTGGGAACTTGTCGCTCCCTCATGTCTCCATATTTTGGATGATTTGAGGAATAAAAATCTGCAAATCCATGCTCTTGACCACCAAGATCAAGATCCTGAACAAAATATTGGAGATCTATAAATGCTCCATCTTGAATGCGATCCCAACATGTGATCGGGAATGTCCATTTCATTGGACCTCTAGATCAGTCAGATTTAAGCCATTTTTAGGAGCTCCAGATCCATTCTTGTTGGTGGAAATGCTTTTGCAGGGGTTTAAATTTTAGAATGTGTTTTGGGTCCTCAATCCATCAAAAAGATGGATTTTGATAGGAGGTCTCATGGTGTGCATGAGGTGGGGGCTGCATCTCCTCATGCTAATGCTACGTTTGTCTAATGGACATGGCTTTTACGAGTCGGCAGACTTATATGTAGATAGGCGCTCTCTCTTTATAATACATGTTTGAGATGGATTTTGAACTTAAATTTTTAGGAATATCTAATCTCTAACATGGGGAGCATTATTACGTAAAATAAATAAATTTTAAAATTTTAAATACACACTTTCTTAAGAAATCGTTTTAGCCATCGATTTTGTTTCAATGTGGGACTACCACTTTTCCTTGTGTGATGCGTCAGAGGACACAAAGGTAGAATTGCATCCCCTGACATACAAAGGACTTTTCCTTATCTAATTATGTGCATCCTTTTTGCTCTTGTATGGTTTCCTGTATAAATTTGTATTATAATCAATAGATGGTAAAATGTGTCCTTGATATGGTGCTGCATGGGCCCTTGCCTTGTTGCTTTTTCAATGTAATGTCTCAGTCGTGGATGGATTTTTTTGATGTTTGCTGTGCTTCTTGCTACCCCTTCCTTTGTTAATCGTCGATAGATGCTGCTGAATTGTATACCCCCCCCCTTCTCTTCCCATACCATACATAGTGTATATCTAAGAACCTCATAAGATAACAAAAAGGAAGTGCAAACTGCACTTTGCATCTGGGAATCTACCCCATTTTACAAATGCCGTTCATTGCATTTAGCATTTCAGGGTGCACATTTTCTCAGACTTGTCTTTATGTATATGTTAGATTGCGCCACCATTGAAAAGGTGTCTGGAATAAAGATCTATATCTGGTCATTGGACTTGGCTTTTAGCCTTGAAGTAGTTTGGGTTGTATGATAAATATCAAACATACATCCATTTCAAATGGAATATGACTCAAATGAGCCTGGCCAATTAATAGTCAATTAACTAAGATTCTACTCTAATCTTCTTGGCTTTCCTGGTCTTTTACTTTAGGTCTGAGAGTTGATTTTAACATTGTAATTTCACAGGATCAAGGATTCCAACAACCTGTGGGAACTCCTTCCAAGGGCCACAAAAAGTCCAATCATGGAGCATCATCAAGGAAAACTCAGTCAGTATACATGTCAATCACATCTGAACTTCTATGGTCAAATATCCAGGAATTTGCAAAGATGAAGTATCAGGTAGTGCCAATCATATAATTTCAATACATCTTATCAATTATAAATTATCTGAATTGTTACCTGTTATACTTATGTTCTAAGAGGAGAATTTCCTTGTAGTTCTCATTGCCCGAGGATACTAAGTTACGTATAAAGAAGGTTTCGGTTATTCGTAATTTGTGCCAAAAGGTAATTTCTCTCTTCACATTTTAGCGATAAGTTTATTTTTTATTCATAATTATGGAATAAATTCCATCACCGTCCTGTCAAAATTATGGAGTGAATTCCACCTTATTTTTCCATGCTCAGTTTTGTTCAATATTAAAATGAACATTTCTTATTATAGGATTGGATCTTCATTGTTCTCAGAAAACTGTGGCTTCATTTTATTGTTGTTACTCATTACTAGGCTGTCATGGATTCCAGTTTATTTGATATGCAATTCTTTATTTATTTATTAGATTTTTGTAAGTCTCGTTAATTTTTTGTTACTCATGAAGCAATTATTTCCCTTTCTGTGCTGCCACGCCTTTGTACTGATGCATCTATGTTCATATTTTGTAAGTATATGCTAATTAGCTGTGTCTACAGGTTCCTTTATTTATAGGTTTTTTACTGCATATGTAGTTGAGTTAAACAATTCGTTGCATCTAAATTGTAACTTTTAAATAAGATACTAACGAGGTGTTTGGCTAACCTGCTTCACTGCTCGTTTTCAGTGAGACCAATAAGGGGTTGAAACCTTTCTTGCAAACCAAACTGACCCCATCAAGAAACTTCCAAGTACTTCTAGTTAAAAAACCTATTTTGCTGGATCTCTTGTTATCGGAGAGGAACCAGTCAGTGCTGTTGGTACTGGTATGAGTTATTAGATCACTAATGATCGGTTCTTAGTCCCCTAGCTGGGTTAGAGTTTTAGATGAGCATATCTCTGGAATGTAATTTTTCTTTCTGCTGGGATCATTTTTGAACTTTTTAGGACAAACTCCCATACACTATCGTGTCAACGAGTTTCAGTTCTTAGGACCGTCTCTTGTTCGAAGTATTGGTTGCATGAACAAAATATTGATCATCAAAAAAAGATAAAAAGTTTTAGTTGCAGGGGAACTACACGATCTGTTTTGAGCATTCAGTTGTTTATTGACAGGTTGGTGTAGCGATTGCAGCTCGCAAGTATGATCTTGATGCGGCTGTTCCCTTCCATAATTCAGATATCCTAAATCTTCAACCAGTTGTGAAACATTCAGTCCCAGTTTGCTCTGAAGCTAGGGATCTTGTGGAGACAGGGAAGGTTCGCTTGGCTGAGGTATACAAACTTGGTGCATCTTACTTCTTATTTGTGAAGGTCTCAGGGGTGTCCGTGGACATTGTATGATAATTGGTGGTCTAATGGCACAGGGGATGTTGAATGAAGCCTATTCATCGTTCACTGAAGCATTTTCTATACTTCAACAAGTGGGTTCATTTCCCTCTATTCTGTCCTTATCTTGGAATTTTTTCAAATGTATTTGAGAATTTTTGACATGGACATTTGCAATGCAGGTAACTGGTCCCATGCATCGAGAAGTTGCCAACTGCTGCCGGTAATCAATCATGCTTGGGATGTAAATATGTAATTTTACTTAGTGATCACTTCTTTCTAGCCGATCCATTTTATGCTCAGGCATGCATGCTATGTGGTGTCATAATCTGCATTTCTAAGTTTCTTAAACCAAAGGAAATACATTGTAGTTTTAACTTTCGAATGGGCCTAGACAAGCATTGTTGGAAGTTGGACCTTGTGATCTTCACATAAATCCCACACTTTTTAGTGGATGAAGTGCTCGATTTATTCATGAATGCTCTTATCATTCTGGAAGCCCTTTGCGTATTGAGATCTCTTGGGGTATAACCAGATAACTTCAGCTGAAGACTTGGAGTTCAAGTTTTCTTTGTTGTGTTCAAATGATCTCCAAGAGGATCACTTTTATATAGATCGATGCTTATATAGATCGATGCTTGTAGTCATCTGTTGATATGTCTGTTGGAGCCAGTATGCATGATATCTTGGATGATATATTATTTTGTGACAACAATAACATCAAATTGCCATTTTATCTTTTGCAATGGCTAATTACAATGAAGCACAAAAGAACAGTATTTTAAAATGTGGCATGCAGACCAGATACAGTTGAGGAACCGATTTGACTCAATGCAGTCCGATGTGGGCGCATAACCTCTAATGCGGTCAATAAGTTATAAAAAAGATTAAAAATACAAAAAAATAATAATGTATAAAAAAAATAAATGTTATTTATGTTATATTAGGCATTTTAATTTTTTTAATATCCATATTAGTTGTCTGAGACTTTGAGTCCTTTGATAGCCTACTAAAGAGTTATAGACTTTGTTGTTCTAATTTCTAATCTTAATAGTTTAAATATCTGACACAATTAACCTGTAAAACAACGCAATCCATTCCATCTCATATAAGATATCCCAAATTGAGAACATTAAAATCCAAAGAGACAAAGGCGAAAATTTATGGAATATAAAAGAAAAAGATAATCAACTCTCAACTTTAAATCAGACGGGTTATCAAATATTTAAATTTCTTCTATCAATTCTTTTTGTCTCATTTTCTTCTTTTCTTTTTCTTTTTCTCTTGTATCCATGTATGCCCCAATCTCTTATTCAATTTCATCCTTTGCTTGTGGGCATGCTTTAGCATTCCTGGTAATACGGGCTAGGTGTTCCTTTTGCCATAAAATACCCCTGAGATAAGTATTTCCACAGTGTACAAATCACTCAATTTCAAGCCTTAGGGTTTTTGTGTTTTCGTGCCGGACTCTTTTTCCTTGAAGGTGATGAAGACATTCTCCCCCCCCAACCCCCCCCAAAAAAAAGAAGTATTAGAAAATGAAAAAGTTACCAAACAACACCAAGAACTTTTGATGCATTATGCAGCTGCATTTTATGACAATGAGAAAGAATAACTCTAAAAAATAGATTCTTGAAAAGATCTAATATAGGCCAGTGATGAAAACTTCATCTACTTGGCTGCCTAGGGGGTCCGGCAGACCAACCAACTGCAATGAATAGTGCCTTGGTAGGCCCCGATTCGGTTATGTCTCTTGGTGCTTGCCTAGGTGGCCTGAGGATACACCTTGGCCAAGGGTGGAAAGAGGTCCTCCACTGATGGGCAAAAAATGTCACCCCCCCCCCACCCACCACAAAAGGGGGGTGGAAGGGTTTTGAGGGGGCATTTTAGCCCCCCAAAACTTATTTGTGTTGATGTGGAGCTTAAAAAGCATCTCAAAAAACAAAAGTTTTTGAAGATACAAAAAAGAAAATTCGAACTTTTGATTTCTTGTAAAATCGAGAAGTATTCAGTCAGATGCTTTCTCAGACTTGAAGTGGTTGCAAGAGGGGTCTTTTGGCAACCAAAGGTCACTGATTCGAGCTGAGTTTGATTGGTTTTAAGAGGGCAGTGTATTTCATTTCTTGGTTTAGGTTTTGTGATATTTATGAATGCTGGCTATTGATTTGTTCTTTTCAATTTTGTTATTGTTTATGTGGATCATTTTTCTTCTTTCATTAATGTGACTTGTAATGGAAAATTGATATAATGGATGAATCTTGGGCAATTTTTCACTCATTTAATGTTTTAGTCGTTCAACTTTACAGTTCAAAGCCACATATGTTTAAGTCTGAGCAGCGAGATAAAATAGCACACACAAAAAACTATGAAACAATATTCTTTAAAAAACAAAGTAGATGTTCTATGCACACAATCATGGGGGTCCAATAACCAATAGAACCCCCCAAATATCATCCTTAAGGGCCCAGGGGCCCCCACTTTCCTTGCCCCTGCCCCCCCTGTCGGCGCCCCCCAACCCCCCCCCCCTTTTTACAGGCCATCCAGGTAGCTAGGTACCCAGCTAGGCAGCCGAATCCGCCTTCTTGAACATTGATATCGGCTAATTGCTTTGTTTTGATTTTTGATGTAATTGCTGTTGCTTCATGTCCTCACATTAATTATTTCCTGAACCAGACTCAAAGTTTGACTAGTGATTAGATATTTGCATGGTGGCTGTTTTCCCCAACATGCAGCTATCTTGCAATGGTCCTCTATCATGCTGGTGACATGGCAGGAGCTATAATGCAGCAGCATAAAGAGCTTATCATAAATGAACGTTGCCTTGGTCTTGATCACCCTGATACTGCTCACAGGCATGAACTTCTTCTAGAATTCTTTTGTCTCTATGTTTTTTTAACTTTGGGCTTAATTTGTTTTGAATTATTTATTGCAGCTATGGCAATATGGCTTTGTTCTACCATGGTCTTAACCAAACCGAACTAGCTCTGAGGCACATGGCCCGAACATTGCTCTTACTTAGTCTATCTTCGGGGCCAGACCATCCAGATGTTGCTGCAACTTTCATTAATGTAGCAATGATGTATCAGGATATGGGGAAGATGAATATCGCCTTAAGGTATTTGCAGGAGGCCTTGAAGAAGAATGAACGGCTCCTTGGTCAGGACCATATCCAAACTGCTGTCTGTTATCATGCTCTTGCCATTGCATTTAACTGCATGGGGGCTTACAAGCTCTCTCTCCAGGCAAGCATTTATACTTGAAACATTGTTTAAAGCTACAGTACATTGAATTTCGATCACATATGATCTCTATTCAGAGGCCTAATTTGGTTAATGGCAAACATCCAGATATTAACTATTATATCAGTAATTTAAGCTGTATTTGTGAACCTATGTGATTATTTCTCTATTCTTTGTGTATGACAGCACGAAAGGAAAACCTATGATATTCTTGTAAAGCAACTCGGTGAAGAGGATTCAAGAACACGCGACTCAGAAAATTGGATAAAAACTTTTAAAATGCGAGATCTGCAGGTATATGCATTGAACGCATTCTGGATATCATACAGACATGCATAGAAATGTTCCATATCTGACCAAGTTATGGATTCTTTTCTGTAAGGTGAATGCACAGAAGCAGAAAGGACGAGCAGTAAATGCGGCATCAGCTCAAAAAGCATTCGATATATTAAAGGTCAGTGTTCCATATTAAGTCTTCATTGTGCTTGGTATACATGTAGTGTAATTTGTAGGGCACATGACCCAAATTAGCCTGGTAAATGGCCCAATTTATTTTTTAACTAAGATAGTCCAATGGACTGTGAATCCATTGAATTCTCACAGCCTCATTGATGTGTCTTGACCATCTGAGAGAATATATGATGGATAAAGAGTGGAACACACCAGAAGAAGACAATGTGGGGTTGTGGCTCCTTTTTCTCCAGTTCATCACCATTGAATTAGATGGTCCATAGCGTGCTTTCTTGTAATGCATATGACTACTACACTTTTTATCCCCAAAATGTCACCAATATACTGGTCTTTTTCTGTTCATATAGGCACACCCAGATTTGATCCAGGCCTTCCAAGCTGCTGCATCAGTCGGATCTAATAACACACGTGATGGCATCAACAAGTCCATCAATGCAACTGCCCTAATGGGCGAGACCACCCTCCCCCGAGGGAGAGGTATTGATGAACGAGCTGCTCGTGCAGCTGCCGAAGTAAGGAAGAAGGCAGCAGCACGAGGCCTCCTGGTCAGGCCCCATGGTGTACCTGTTCAGGCCACTCCACCTTTAACTCAATTCCTTAACATTATAAATTTGGGGGCAAATCCAGAGGCAAGTTCTCCTAATGATGAATCTGATGAAACCCAAGTGGATAAAAATGGTCAGGCCTCGAATGTTGGGGAGAAGGATAATAGTGGCTCCTCTTCCTCTGTTTGTGAAGATGGGGGTGCACCTGTGGGTTTGGGTGCTGGTTTATCTTCTCTTGATTCCAAGAAGGCAAAGGTGAAATCGAAGTCCACAGCTTGAGAGGGAATGTACAGTAGAGGATTATTTTGGGTTGATTGGTGAGATATTAGGATCATTTTGTGGAGTTCGGCTTTGGTTTATGCGGAGCAAGGATTTGGATAGAGTTCATATATAAAAAGCGGTGAGTCTTTTTCTTCATTTAACTGATAAAAGCAGGAGGCTTATGCACTATGGAAAACCGTAATTCATTTGGGATCATGGTGCTTCATTGAAATGATGGACGGTGATTGGGAGTGTGGAGCCAAGCATCATGGTAATGTTCTGTTTTGATGGGCTCTATTCCCTCTCGCCATCCAATTCCAACATTTTGTTGGATGTTCATAAATCCAGTGGGCTAGGGTTTTCCATGGTGGTGTTAAGCATGTGTTTCCTTTAGATGTTGGCAAGGTCTGAAAATTTCAGAATTCATACCAGAAATTTGCCTCAAACTTGTTCCTTGTGATTTTTTTTTTTTCCTTTTCCTCAAGTAAATGTTTTCATTCAGTAAATGGGTACCAATCAGATTCTTGGTTGAATTTCAGGCCTGACTTCTGAAATGAAGTCACAGATTAAAAATGAATTGTTTTAAGTTCTACTTGGGTTAGAATTATCCACTGGCAAAAGTATACATTGACTCTGAATCTTGGTTTCTATGTCTTAAGTTTTCTTTCTGAATCTAACGAGAGCAATGTCTTGTGTTTTTCATTTATACAGGAATTTTGTAGAGGTATGGAGCTTCCTTAATGGCATCAGATATGTTCTGCGCTTCTCTCTCATTCTTTATGTTGAATTGATCTACTTAACACTATGTATTTGTGGGCTGAATAATTATTAAGGGAACTGCTTTGTACGGGAAACAAGTAAGATTTACATAGGTTTTACATGGCTACATTATAGTTATTATTCTGAATAATGGGAGTGGGTGAAGATGCCAAATGCTAAAGTGGGTGGCATTTTTTTCCCATCTCTTGTTGAGGGAGACAAGGAGGGATAATGTCTCAGTGGCCTCTATTTTCTAGTCACTATATAGGGAATAGAAGCTGACCTTTCTTTTTCTATTGAAAGGAAACTTTTCTCTCTTCATGGGTGCTATCATTCATGAATTGTTGGGCTTTTGTACTTATATATTTGAGTATCTGTGGTAAATAAGTTGTAGTAAAGCTGGAATTGGTGGTTCTTGTTTACCCACTTCTGGAAATTGGGCTGTTGTCATTACCCTTTCTCAAAGTAAGATGTATTGTTAATCATGCTTCATACTCCGTGTGTATGTGTGTGCACATGCATGCATTCCCCGGAGAGAGATCAGTAGCCATTGATGTCGAGATCAATGTTTGAAAACTCAAATCAGCCGGGCAGATCAGTTATCTGGAAAATTGATCCAGATCAGTGGGTCGGCTGTCCAGATCTGTGGATTGGCCTGGTCAGGCCAATTTGAAATTTGAAATTTGAAATTTCTTTTGTAAGTCGTTATGAATGTTAATTTTTAGGTTTTCAAATGATATTGGGTTAATGCATTTGTGAATTTTTATTATTTTACAAAAATACGCTAATATTGACAGGTCATTTCCTGGATGAGTTTGTGTTGACTGATCACATCTATTTCACTGGTGAAATAGAGCATCAATTATAATAATGGAGTATATGAATACGCACATAAAGCGCAATGGGCGATGGCATTCATTACGGATGCTAAACCCCATATCATTGAGTTGGTTGATGTATAAGTTTTAGAGATTCAGAGTTGTTAGTATTCGATTGTATACCATTAGGCCATCGCTCCATGAATGCATGGAGAACTGATTTCCTTCCCACAAATCCCCAATGTTCTTAAAACGTGTTTACTAATGTTCTAATTTAATACATTTTAGTATAAAATGTACCAATTGCCATTTATTATTACTTTTTTATTGTTTAAAAAATTATATATTCTAATGTAATAAATATAAAGATGAGAACTCACGGCATTATTTTGTTTAAGAAATTACAATACCTTTTAATAATTGCAAGTATAAAGATAATTATTAAAATTTGAAGTTTTATACATTCTAGTTTAACAACTATAATAAGAATTGTAATTTACAAGATAATATTTTTTAAAAACATATGCATTCTATTGAAATAAGTGCTACAATTATAAAGTATGATTATTATTATTAAGGAAAACACTTACAATCGCTCATGAGTGAAGTCCAACAAGTATTTTGCTCATGGTTCATCACCATCTAAATTTCATTATATAATCATAAAATTTATACAATCAACTTCATTTAAAATTGGCTACAAGGTGGTCATTATTAATCTTTGACTATTTGATACGAAATTGAGTGGTTGCATTTATTCTGCTAATAAAGTTCAAATTTCCAAAGAAATTTTCCTTGTGATACATCCAAGCTATTAGATTTTACATCGGATGGTTGTAAATTAATTTAGACCTTTGGATGTGAAATTGGGTAACTGCATTTATTTCGTTGATAAAGCTCAAATATCCAAATAATTTTTTTGAACTTTTACATGGGATGGTTATAAGTAATTGTGACCTCTTTATACGAAATGTGAATGATCTCATTATATATAATACTTAATTCACTGGACCGTCTCAAAATAATGAGTGTTACATCCATCTCTCTCTCCCACTCTCTCACTAATAATGAGTGTTACATCCATCTCTCTCTCCCACTCTCTCACTCTATTCTGGATTCTAAACGTAAATAATATTCATGAGGAACCTGAAACAAAATTTTTTAATGAAAAAATATGTATATGTGTTTGTAATGAGAATAAGGTATTTATTTAGCTTGAGCAGCAACGCCCTAATTTATTGAGAGTTCCAAACCTAGTAAAACATTTAAGTGTCGGCTTTATGATTTAGACTCATCTATTCTTGTGTTTCCTCCCTCTAATCCATCTCAAAGATGGAATTTGGATGGGGATCCATTATCTAGATCATGATGGTTATGAATATAAAATATCTTTTACGATCTTTTTGACACAATATATTTAATATTTTGGCTAGGTCCCTTGCATCCATTTTAAAGATGGGACTTTTCATGGTATATGTAAATCATACCACAAGGAAACAACTAGGGATGTAACTAAATAAAGGGTGCAGTTTGTATGGAGCCGAGGCTCTAAAAAATCAAATTTGAGCCCACCTCTAAAAAATGTTGAGAAATATGGTTTCAATGTAGGAAAGTTTTGTGATTGTCTTAAATTATATTTTTATCTTTAGTTATAAAATTTAAAGCTTCAAAAATAGTGTAGATCGATCAGATCTACGAAAAATTGAAAATCTAAAAAATTAACGATCGAAAAATTACGTCACAAGATCCACTATTTTCAAAACTTGAAATTCATTTTTTTCTCATGTCCATGCATCTTGATGTCGAGATGATCAATTTGATGATATTCGGGCATCAAAATAACCTCTTGTAGTGAATGTTTTGAAGTAGGCTCTACTTTGATTGTTTAGAGCCTAGGCTCTATATAAACTTTTCCCCTAAATAAAATGGTTCTCCAAAGTAACCATTTTTTGATAGATGAAAATCTATCGAAGCGCCGTAGAGACGAAGTATTTAACTTTTGGGATGTACATAAAAAAATTATTTACCCTTAATATACGTTGGTCACAATTAATCTTGATCATTGGATATGAAATTGGATTGCTGTATTTATTCCATTGACCAAGCTCACACTTCAAAAAACATTCTTGAACTTATGGCACACCCAAGCTTTCAAATTTCATATTTGAAGATTATAAGAGCTTCATATATCAAGTTAAATGGTATCATTGCATAAAATTCTTTCACTTTTTACACTTCAAGGCCATGAGTCTTTTCATATGTATATAAAATAAAATCAAAATACACAGGTAAAGTATTAAAATTTTTATCTCTTACAGACCGTTTGATAAATGATTATGTTATGCTTATATTATAAAATAATTTATCATTGTATTAAATAATTTTAAACATTTATGTACTACGTGTTATACGTCACTTTCTTTTTTAATAAAAGTATTTTTGATGATTAAGAGGGGGTTTTTAGTCGTTTGTTATGCTCGCTTTTGAAATCCGGGGGTCCGTTGTCATTTTGAAGACAATCGAAACTGAAAAAGCAATTAGGGTTTTTCAATGAAAAAATAAAGACTCCCGCTCGTCTTTCACTGCTGTAAAGCCATTTCAAGGCCTTCGCCTCTACTCTCTCTCTCCAGGTACCGGCGTTGCCCTTCTCTCTCTCTCTCTCTAGCGCCTTACGAAGAAGCAGGAGTATCATCTCCGTTTCAGAAAATCACGTTGTTTTTGCGATTGAAGACCAGGTTCTCCTTCTACCTTGTGAGATTTTTACTTTTAGATATTTTACACGATTTCACACCATTTGCAGTCAATAAACCCTAGAAACTCCATCAGAGGTTTTACAAAATCACATACATTCATCACGGAAGTTAGTATTTTTGCATATAGGTGCTGTATCGTTCTTCTTCTATGGATTACACACCGGAAACCTTAGAAACCCTATCCCAATGCTTTATCCAGACCCTGTCTCCACAACGTCAACCTCGACGCCAGGCTGAATCTTTTCTCCAACAAGCTTCAGAGCAGCCTGGGTATGGTATTGCAGTTCTTAGACTCATTGCTGAGCCTACTGTTCCACCTGAAGTCAAACACGCTGCTTCTGTGAACTTCAAGAATCATGTTCGCCTCCGATGGGCTTCTCGTGAACCTGAAACACTAGCTTCTCCTATCACTGAACTGGAGAGAAACCAGATCAAAACTCTGATTGTCTCTCTCATGCTCAATTCACCACCCTTGATCCAGAGCCAGTTATCTGAAGCCCTAGCCATTATCAGTGAGCATGATTTCCCCAAATCATGGCAAACCCTACTCCCTGAGCTTGTCTCTACTCTACGCCAGGCTACTGATTATTCTGTTATCAATGGAATTCTCCGAACGTCGAATTCGATTTTTAAGAAGTTTAGGTTTCAGTACAAAACCAACGATTTGCTCCTGGATTTAAAGTATTGCTTGGATGGTTTTGCTGCTCCCCTTCTGGAGATTTTCCTTAAGACTGGGCAGCTCATAGCAGGAAACCCTAATTCTGCCGATGTCCTTTGCCCCTTGTTCGAGTGCCAAAGACTGTGTTGTCGTATTTTCTACTCGTTAAATTTCCAGGAACTGCCTGAATTCTTTGAAGATCACATGGTGGAGTGGATGGGGGACTTCAGGAATTATTTGACAACTTCTTATCCAGCTCTTGAAGAAACTGAGAAGAACAAAGAAGGGCTTGTTGATGCTTTAAGGGCTGCAATTTGTGAGAATATAAGCCTTTACATGGAAAAGAATGAAGAGGAGTTTCAGGGTTATTTGAAGGATTTTGCTTCCGCTGTTTGGAGCTTGCTAATGACTGTTTCGCCCTCATCCTCGAGGGATAGGCTTGCTGTAACTGCTATTAAGTTCTTAACCACAGTTACCAAGAGCGTGCACCATGTTCTTTTCTCAAGCACTGAAACTTTGCAGCAAATTTGTCAGAGTATTGTGATCCCTAACGTTCGAATAAGAGACGACGATGAGGAGCTTTTTGAGATGAATTACGTTGAGTACATTAGGAGAGATATTGAGGGGAGTGATTTTGATACGAGGAGGAGGATTGCTTGTGAGTTAGTTAAAGGGCTTGGAACAAATTACAGAGAGCAAGTTATGTCCATGATGTCAATTATTATACAGAACTTGATGGCAAATTATGCTGTTAATCCAAAGCAGAATTGGAAAGACAAGGATTGTGCTATATATTTGGTGACTTCCCTTTCGGTTAAGCAGGGTCTGGGGAAATGGGTAAGCAGTGATTTGGTCGATGTTCCTAGTTTCTTCAGTTCTTTTATTGTTCCTGAGCTGCAGAGCCAAGATTTGAATGATCAGCCCATTTTGAAGGCTGATGCTTTAAAGTTCTTTACCACATTTATTCCTCAGATAACAAAGCCAGTTGCGCTAACTCTGATGCCCAACTTGATCCAATTACTTGGATCAGAGTCAAATGTTGTGCATTCTTATGCAGCTATTTGCATTGAGAAGCTTTTGCTTGTTAAGGATGAAGGTCACGCTCGATATTTATCCGTGGATATTAACCCTTTTGTGCCTATGCTGATGACCAACCTGTTTAATGCTCTCAAGCTTCTTGATTCACAAGAGAATTCTTATGTGATGAAGTGTGTGATGAGGGTTTTTGGTGTGGCTGATATTACCCAGGAGATTGCTGCTGCTTGTATAAATGGATTGGCATCGGTTCTCTCTGAGGTTTGTAAGAACCCAAAGAACCCAACCTTCAACCATTACTTGTTTGAATCGGTTGCGGCCTTGGTCCGGAAAGGTTGTGAAAGGGACCCAAATATGATCCCAGTCTTTGAAGCTGGACTCTTCCCAATCTTGCAGGCTATAATGGTGGAAGATGTCATGGAATTCTTACCTTATGTGTTTCAGATTTTGGCTCAGCTTATAGAATTGAATAGGCCCCCGCTTTCTGGTAATTATATGCCAATTTTTGAGATAATTCTCTCTCCCGAGTCTTGGAGAAGGTCGGGCAATGTTCCTGCACTTGTGAGGTTGTTGCAAGCATATTTGCAGAAGGCCCCGCAAGAGCTTAACCGAGAGGGAAGGCTTACACAGGTGCTTGGGATTTTCGAAAGGTTGGTCTCAGCATCGAGCACAGATGAGCTTGGTTTCTACGTTCTCAACACTGTGGTCGAAAATCTCAGTTATGAAGTTATATCTCCTTACTTGGTTCCCATTTGGACTGCACTGTTTACAAGGCTGCAGAAACATAAGACTGTGAAGTTCCTGAAATCGCTGGTTATCTTCATGTCTCTGTTCTTGGTGAAGCATGGGCATGAGGCACTGGTGAGTTCGATAAATTTGGTGCAACCCAACCTCTTTGGGGTAATTCTAGAGCAGTTTGGGATACCCAATTTGAAATTGATCACTGGAACACTTGAAATGAAGTTGACATCGGTTGCATCGACAAGGCTTCTTTGTGAGTCCCCAGTCCTGTTGCATGACTCGGCTGCCGAGACATGGGGGAAGATGCTTGATAGCATTGTGACGCTTCTTGCTCGGCCCGAGCAAGATAGGGTGACCGACGATGTCGAAGTGCCCAATATTGAAGAGACGGTGGGTTATACATCGACATTTGCTCAATTGTACAATGCTGGGAAGAAAGAGGAGGACCCTGTGAAAGATATAAAGGACGTGAAAGAATATTTAGTGACTTCACTTGCAAGGCTTTCATCTCTTTACCCTGGGAAATATCCTGCAATTATACAGAGGTCTTTGGATCAATCAAATCAGGTTGCACTAAAAGAGTTATGTGATACATACAAATGCGCCATAGTCTGAGTAAGTGAGTCCCTCTTTTTTTTTCTTTTTTGTTTTTTTTGCCTTTTTGTTAATGCTCCCTTTGATCGTCATTATCTTTGCCTGAATTGATGCATTGGTCTCATATGTATCTTATAGAGTTGTATTTTATTTGTAGCATGATTCTCTCCTATACCCATTTGCTTCTGATCATGATACTTGGTTATTGATAACACTCCTGCAATTAAAGAAAAGATATTTTAGGAACCCATTTGGACATTTTTTACCAAATTATGGGATTTATTCATTGGAATAGGTGAAACCAGAAATAGAAACTGAGAGAAGAAAGAGTTGTACTTCGCTTTTTAATATATGTATCTTATAGATTTTCTGAAATATAGTTACAGAATAGACAAATAGTCACTTCGTTAATCTCTCTTCTCCATAGATAAGCTTGGTTCCTTATAGGTCTTCACCAATTGGTCCGTTAGCTACTAGTAATCTGTCCAATGCGTGCTGTTGAATGGTGATTGTTGGATGATTAAGATACAGTGTTTTAAAATGCGGGATGCGGCCGAAAGCGGTCGGGGTCCTGATGTGGCTCGATGGGGTCTGGATGTGGGTGCATCGCGGCGATGCAGTCAATAAATGTAAAAAAAATCTAAAAAAACTAAAAACATAGGTTAATGCATAGAAAAAAATGGAGGTGATATATGTGATAGTAGGTATTTAGTTTATTCATTAACTCCAAAAGTATTATTTATTAGAGATTCTGTATCCATTATCCCTTGATAGAACTAGAAACTGGCTTCATAAAACATTCAACAATCAACAACCATAAGCATAAATCTGCAACCACAAACTTTAAAGTTACAAACTACTACAAACTAAAAGTTCATGAAGATTAAAGAGTTTTAAAATCAAGCTCAAGAAGTTGCAATACAATCATTTCCGCCTAATTTTGTCTTTTGATTCAATCGACCCAATAAAAGCCACAGATGTGGCTGAAAAATGTTGTTTGGGGGGTTTAATACACCCCCAATCCTTTTCCCCCATTTTCCAAGGTGAAAATGACCTTATTACCCCTATCCAATGGGTATAGTTTAGAAAAAACATGGCGGAAGATTATGCGGCCTCATGCGGTGAGATGCGGGAAGCGGCTCTGATGCGGCGCATATGTGGGTGCATCCCTCCAAACGTCATATGCAGGAATTTTCGATGCACTGCCCAACACATAGCACCTGATGCGACCGCATATAAGGTGATGTGGCCGCATTTTAAAACACTGTTAAGATATTCCAAGGCTTGAAAGGCTGCTTACTAATGAACACGTGTTGTGTTTTTTTTTGGTAAAATTATAGCTGTCCCCTTGGACCATACTTTCTAGGCATGCTTGCCCCCAATGCTTTTTAAGCGACATTACTAACCCCAATACTATTTTTTTCATCTCCCCTCCCCGCTTCAAAATAAAATAAAAAAAAAGAGGAAGAAAAAATTAAGAAAGTAGTCTTTTTAGAATGAAAGAATCCCTTGGGCATTTAAAACAGTTCTCTCTATCATTAACATCATCACCATCCAAGCCTTATCTTAATTATTTGGGGCTGGATACATGAATACTGTTCCTCCATTTTTCTCTATCAAGGGCCATACCCTTAGCAAGACCAAAAGTCGCCATATCATTTTTTACTGCTTTTATCCATGTCCCTTTTGGCCTTTCCCTCGCTTTTTTAGAGCCTTTCACTTGAAATTTAAAATTTTAGATTGAGAAATTATCCCAAATTTTAAATTTTTAGAGAGAAACTATCTCAAATTTCAAGTTCTAGAGAGAGAAACTATCTCAAAATTTTTAAAGGGAGAAACTATCTGAAATTCAAGTTATCTTAAATTTTAAGTTTTTAGAGAGACGCTCTAAGAATTTGAAAGCCCTGAGAATGAAGGGATGAGAAAGTGATGCGAAAGGAGCCCAGAAATTAAATCTAGCCTTCTTGTGATTTTAAAAGAATAACAAATCAGAACATAAGGTGGCTATAAATCAAGCCATGGGAAGTGAAGCTATTTTTTTTTCATTTATAAAAACTCTCTTAAAAATTATCCAATGCTAATAACATAAGCCCCCCCCCAAAAAAAAAAAAGAAAGAAAAGAAATAGCTCTATTTTCTTCTACGTCTCTCTCTCTCTCTCTCTCTCTCTCTCCCCACATTAATCTCTCTCACTCCCCCCACATTAATGGAATGTCTCTCTCTAACTCACATCATTGATAATTTCGTCCAAATTTCATAATTCCCATGAATGTAAGAGTTACCCTTCTAACTTACGCCCTCATCTATTTTCTCTCTCATACAACTCCAAAGCTAGTCTAACAAATAAAATCCCAACCAACTAAAGAGCCATGTTTATGGTAAAAATAATTAGACCCAACACAATTAATAAAGCTCCTTTTGACCCTGCCATGTGTAATTCCTAAAAGTTAGCCCCCCACATCCCTGGAAATTAAATTTCAAAAAGAAACAAAAATATTTTAACCACCTTAATTCTTGAATATCTCAGATGCAATTTGCAGTATCCCCCCAGGTTGTACAAAAAACTTGTCTAGAGTTTTTGCTGTTGCATCTTCACCCTCCTTAGCTGATGGTGAAGCCCTACATCTCCATGCAATTGTTCTTTGCAAGGAATGGGGCTGAACATCCAGGATGCACCTCTGATGGTCACCCATTCGGCATGTATGGTGCAAAACAAATTGCTAATTGAGGGATCAAAATCGACCCTCCTTGTAGAAGAAGAAGCGTTGTTTCCCACCAACGAAGCTTGATTAATATTGAAGAAGCTATCTCCCATGTGTCTTGAAAGATTTGCCTCAGAAATAAACAAGTAGTTACTGACTCCATGACTTTAGCATATAATGTGTCGGTCACTGCTCCCCAATAGGTCCCATCTATGCGATGGAAGTATTTGAATATGACAGTTTCCATAGTTTAAAAAAGCGCTAGGCAGGTCCTAGGCGGCTTGGGGGGTCCAGGCCGCCAAGCGCCTAGGCGGGCACCCAAAGCTTGGGTGGCCCAGTTGAATCCAAAAAAGATTCTACAGTTATATATTTTATAAAATATAAGAATTAGGTATTTAGGGCATATTAGAATTCAAAGTATACTACACATTAGCACACACTCCATAAGTATAACCATAAGTCGGTCCATATCCAATTAAAACTTAAAATTTACCAACCAAATTACCAAACCAAAGTTACAAAATACCAAACCAGTGGAACTACAAATCCAATATCCACAAGACCACAATACACAACCAAGAGGAAGAAAACAAAAATGAAAGTAATACTTGAAGGCTCACCACTCCTATTAGATCGTGAAGAAGAAACAACTTACACAAGCAATAAAAAAAATCACTTTCTTTGATTGCTCAATCTCCAAACTTCCACCTTATAGATGCTTCTAAGGAATCAAAATCTTCTAAAAAAACCCCCAATAGATTTATAAAATATAAAAAATTAAATCTAATATCAATGGGTGATGTTTTGATCAATTTCTCATAACTTTGAGAAACCTTTCGATCCTAAATAAATCACCAAAAACTAGTGTTTTGTGGGTTTTCTCTCTCTAAAATAGGCTCTAATGAGTTTTAGGTTTCAAATGAACCTAAACCCCCAATTTTTGGCCCCATAGTATAAAACAAATGGACAAAAATAGCCCCCACCGAAAGCTTTTTCCACCTTTAGGCGGGGTGCTGGACCTGGGCGGCCGCCTAGGAACCTCCGCTTTTTTTGGGTGCCTAGGCCTCGGCAATGTGTCCAGGTCCCCTAGATCTGCCTAGGTGGCCACTCAGGCGCTGGGTGGTCTGCTTTTTGAGACACTGACAGTTTCAATGGATGCCATGATTGCTTATGCACTAATGCAAATATTGACGAGCTTATTGAATGACATGCATGGCTGAAAAGCCTTGAATTTGGGGGCAATGCCATCATTACTTTTATACCTAGGCTCAAGAACTCAGTGGATGCTTTGAAATCATTATGGAGGCTTATTGAATTGCTTACTGTGGATGTGAGTAAGAAAGGAAGTGGTTCAGACATCACACAAAACATTAGCAACTTCCAATGGTAAATTCCAATGAAAAAGACCCTAGCTGTATAAGCCATTTCACAAGTACCAGCATCTTTGGCTCTCACATAACTATAAGCTGCAATGAGCTTAGTAAAAGGCACAACAAGATTCAAACATGGAACAAGAAGCTCGTACAGTCTCATGCTTGAAGGTATAAGCTCTTGGACGAAACTTAAGGCAACTCCTTTTCTGCCATCAAAGGCATAAGCCAATAGTGAGAAGTCAAGCTACTGTGGTCGAAGGTCAAGCCATTGTTGTGAGACCCCTTCTATTAGATTAATCCAATTGTTGCCACTTTTGTTGAGTGAAATTTCCAAAGAAGACCATGTATGCCCCAATAAAATATATGTGTTTGAACCCAACTTAATATTCAGCCCATAAACATGAGCACCCAACACTGAATTTCTTGAGTTCAAGCATGCGCACATGCTGATAACATTAGGAAAAGCAAAACTACTTGATCTAAAACCATGACATATCATAAGATGAAAGATCGTTACATGACTTCCAAACATACCTCCTTTGAGAATTCCACTCAAAACATCCTCACAAAAATATTTTCCACTATAATTCATGAAATCAAGCATCAAGTTTGTAGCAAGGAGCTTACCAACTTTGCCATGGGGTGATAAAGTACATTGCCAATGCAAGGGCCACTAAGGAATCCACATTTCAAAACTTTAGTATGGAGTTGCATAATGGCTCTTATACTGTCCATAGTGATACTCTCCATGTATCTGTTGCGACAATCAAATATGTAAACACCAATAAGAGTAGAATATGAAAAACGAAAACCATGGGCCTCTATCTCCTTCAAACATTGTAACCCAATGCGAGAAAATTTGGCCATGAATTTTGAAATGAATTAGGACTTATGAATTTTGAAATGAACTAAGTTAAGTCAACCCATAGTTTCCTTCGGCACGCAATACATGACTTGAGATCGGAATCTTCCATTCATAACAAAGCAATGAGTTAGCCTTTCTTTCACCATTGAGGACATCACTATCAACTTCAAGGTGGACATTAGGTATGTCGAAGATATTGTCAATAGACCAAGCTGAAAGCACCGTTAGTTCCTTGGTGTGCATCTCCCATGGCCTTCCTGACGTAGAAAAGATATTGAGAGAAACAATATCCTTACTAGCACTGTCTTCAACATCACTTTCATTATAGCTTGTTGCATAGAGAGTAGAGCCATACCCTACTCTTTGGAAGGCTTGGGCGGAATCTCCTTACTCAATGACAGCAAAGATGGTTCATGTCTAACCATCAACACTGTTCTTTGATTAGAAACGACCATCTCTATTTTCTCATCCAATCCCATTACAGTTATGGGCTGCTCGTCCTTGCTCATTAGGAGTGAGTCACTTACAAATTCAACATTATCTTCAACAAAAATAATGTTAAAAGTTAACATTTCCTTCTGATTGATACAATGCTGAGTTTCTTCATGATTAGATTTAGAATTCTCCATCCTTCTTCAATAACAATGTTCGGCATATCCCTAATTGTCTTTTATTTTTCAGCAGGTTGATCTATAAATACAACTTTTTTTTCATTAGATTTAGGACATTTCGTGTCTTTCAACGCATCAACCTCTCTTGTGACAAATTTAGGATTCTCTTTGATCAAGATATCACATATCTCTCTGTTTAATTATGTGATACCCAGGTTGCAGTTTTGTTGTAGGGATGGCAACTCCTCGAGTTGAAGATATCAGTCTCCTAGCCTGGGATGATCCTATTCCAGGGGTGGATTTGAATGTGGAAAAATTATTTCTCTGCTTGTCTCTACATTGATTTCAACCTACTCCCTTATGCCAATCACATCAACTTTAGGGTTGTCAGTTACCTAATATTTCTCTGCATTCATGCTCTTGTTGATGACGCCGCGCATCGAATCTGTAAATGCCATTAAACGTAACATCATGCCATTCCCACTCAGACTTGCGCTATGATTAATGCCGATCTCTGCAAGAACTCACACAATATGGATCTAACACCGTAGATCTCATCTTGTTCAATGTGTGCTGTTGCAATTTTTTTTGTGACACATTTTCAACCATCTCCGTTACGTTGTCGATTTTCTAGTATATTTGGTGTTACTTGGCATTCCTATAGTTGCGACCTCCACGACCAGCCATCATAGTCGCTAGCCATTTTCGAACCATGCTTCGATACCAATTGACGTGAAAGGAGTCCGGAAATTAAATCTAGCCTTCTTTCGATCTTAAAACGATCAAAATTCAACAATTATAGAGAAAATAAGGTGGCTGTAAAGCAAGCCATGGGAAGAAGTTCTCTTTTCTTAATTTAAAAAAAAAAAGCAGCTCTCTTTTCTTAATTTATAAAAACTCTTTACAAAAATATCCAACTCTAATAAAATAAGCCTCCCCCTCTTAAATACAAATATAACCGTAAAAAAATAAAATAAAATAACTCTCTTTTCCACATATATATCTCTCTCTCACTTCCCCCACATTAATCTCTCTCTCACTTCCCCCACATTAATGTAATGCCTCTCTTTAACTCAGGTCACCCATAATTTCTTCCAAATCTCATGACTCCCATGAATGTAGGAGTTACCCTTTTAACTCACGCCCTCATCAATTTTCTCTTTCATTCAACTCCAAAGCTAATCTAACAAATAAAATCCTAATGACTTAAAGAGCCATGTTTATCCTAAAAATAATTAGAAACTTTCTAACTACCCAGCACAATTGATAAATCACCTTTTGACCTCTTCATGTGAAAGTTAACCCCAATAAAAGGTAAATAAGAACTATCCACATCCCTGCAAATTAAATTTAAAAAATAAATAAAAATATTTTAACCACTTTAAATCTTGAATATCTCGGATGCAATTTGCATAAGTAAGAATGTGGGTTCAAACATGGGGGCATTTTCGTCTTGAAAAACTACTTTCTTACTTTGAGGGGTGGATGTAAAAACAAATAATATTGGGGTTGGTAGTGAGGTTTAGAAAGCATTGGGGATGCGCATGCCTAAAAAGTATGGTCCAGTGGGTATTCATAAGTTTCCCTATTTTTTTCCCAATTTCATATATTCTCATATTCATAAGTTTCCCTATTTTTCCCCTTTTTGTATTCTCATGTAACTATACTTGTTGCATGAGAAGCACAAATAATTTGCGCTATTTTTTTCTGCATGGGTGCAATTCACTTCTTGCTCTTTGGACTTTGTGAATTCAATTTTAAATTGATGAACATGGGTTGAATCATAGCCACGGGGTTTAGAGTTTAGGAAAAGCTCCTTTTAACTTGGTCATGTATTTCAAGTAAATATTGACGATGATTTTTATGTTCTTTGCAATATATAGTTAATTATATTTGCATAGCTGAACAAGAATAAAGTGCTCTGAAATACCTAAAAGAGATTGTTTTCAATAGTTTGAGTTGATAATCCAAGAGAATGGAGAGATTGAGGAAGATGTCACGCATAAAATTAGAGTTAATTATTTTTGCATAGTTGATCAAGAATAAAGTACCCTGAAATACCTAAAGAGATTATTTTCAATATTTTGAGTTGTTAATCCAGGAGAATGGAGAGAATGAGAAAGATGTCACGCATAAAATTAGTGCTGGGTGGGCGAAATTATATTTGCATAGTTGATCAAGAATAAAGTGCTTTGAAATACCTAAAAGATATTATTTTCAATATTTTGAGTTGATAATCCAATAGAATGGAGAGATTGAGGAAGATGCCACGCATGAAATTAGAGCTGCGTGGGCGAAGTGGAGATGTGCATCGAGAGTTTTATGTGATCGCCGCATACCAATGAAACTGAAGGGGAAGTTTTATAAGATGATTATAAGATCAGTCATGCTTTATGGAACTGAATGTTGGGCGGTCAAGAAGCAACATATCCATAGGTTGTGTAGCTGAGATGAGGATGTTGCGATGGATGAGTAGCCAGACATGAAAGGATAGAATCTAGAATGAATATATACAAGGGAACTTAAGGGTGACTCCAATAGGCGATAAGATGAAGGAAAATAGGCTTAGGTGGGCTAGTTATATGCAGTGTAGGCTTTATACAACACCAGTTAGAAGATACGATTTGGTTCAAGTGGAAGGCTCAAAGGGAAGGGGAAGGCTCAAAATGACATGGATGGAAGTAGTGAGAAGAGATATGGTGACTTATGGTTTGATTGAAGGCACTGATAGAGTAAAATGGCGGAACAAGATTTGTTTAGCCGATCCCAAATAGTTGGGATAAGGCTCCGGTAATGATTATGATGATAAAAAATAAAGTACCCTGATGACTTAGTAAACATTACACACTGGGTGGGTTTAGTTCACCTCATGAATCAGCTTATTTGTTACTAAAATAATTCCCTTACAGTTTTACTTCTTCACGATTGATGATATTATGTGATTGATTATTCCCTGCATTAGCACTTGTTATCAGAAATTTGAATTGTTATGTTATATAGAAGGCACACGGCACATTAGTTTCTTGTGCTACCTGCATATTCTAAATTACATCTCTGGATTCAATTGCAGTTTAAAGCTGGACATTGCACAAGACAACACTCCAGTTGCTGTTGGGTTTTTTGGATTTGCATTCTCTCGCTTGATTTTGTGGTCCTATCAAGTTCTGTAGAGGGAAGGTATGCTTTTGCACCAATGGAGGGCCCTTGCCAGTTGTTATAGTAGCATGCGTATACATGTGCTTGCTATGTTGCAAGCTGAGGTGGTTGGGTGCAATGCATGTTTACTGTTAGAGGGCTATTGTAGAGTTGGGTTCACAGAAGAACTCGAAAATCGGCCGTGATCGTGTGAAATTGGTATACCTTCAGGATACCTTGTCTGCATTTTGGTTCCAAAGTAGTCAATCTTAAGGCATGATTTTGTTATGGGCTTTTCATAATTTTTGTGTTTTCCTCTGTGATTCGTCGATTGTAAGGCCATTTTGTGAGTTATTGTAGTCCCATCCTCTCTCTCGTCCATACGCACACCAGACACAAACTTGGTCACAGAGAGAGACAGAGAGGGGGGGGGGGAGAGAGAGAGAGAGAGGAGGAGGGGAGGGGGAGAGAGAGAGAGAGGAGGGAGGGAGGGAGAGAGAGAGGAGGGAGGGAGGGAGGAGAGAGAGAGAGAGAGAGAGACGTACGTACGTACGTAGTAGTACGTACGTACGTACGTACGTACTACGTAACGTAACGTAACGTACGTACGTACGTAACGTAACGTTAACGTT